TTTTTCTAGCTCCTTACTGACATATATTAGGAAAAATTGCCGTTTAAAAACTTACTTTCTTATTCATTAATTTTAGAAGGGAGGGAGAAAGAGAAAAAAAGATCAGTTTCTTGTTCTACTTGTTTACGCAGCCACTGGTTCACTCCTCTCTGTGCCCTGACAGGGGGTCTAACCCACAACCTCGGTGTGAGCACTGGGACAGCGCTCCAACCACCTGCGCTGCCTGTCCAGGGCCAAAATGAACTTTTATTGATTGATTGATTTATAGATTTTATTTACTGGTCGCTTCTCATATGTAACCCAACTGGGGACCGGACCTACAACTCAAACGTGCGCCCTGACCTGGAATTGAATTAGCAAACTTTTGCTTTGGGAGACAACACCCAACCACCTGAGCCGCACCAGTCAGGGGCCAAACTCATTTATTTTATCTTACTCATATAGTTTATCTTACTACAGTGCAGGAGAAATTCGACACTGGATGATATTAAATTAAAATCAGTGAGCTCACCCTGGCTGGCATAGCTCAGTGGATTGAGCACGGGCCTGCGAACCAGAGGATCGAGGTTCGATTCCCAGTCAGGGCACATGCCTGGGTTGCAGGCCAGTTCCCAGTGGGGGACCCATGAGAGGCAACCACACATTGATATTTCTCTCCCTTCCTCCTTCCCTTCCCCTCTAAAGATAAATAAAATGTTAAAAAACAAACAAACAGTGAGCTTAATAGGATAAGCATCCCTCCTGTGCTTGACATGGTTTTAAGTGTCCTTTGATTCAAATTTGAAAATGGATCTGGGTATTTTTATTAGAACATACATATCTTTAAAGCACTGTGCAGAAAAGCCAAATTCACAGTGAGTTCTCTCAACACCTTCTTCCGAGGGACAGAACAATGTGCCCGAGAAAAGGTCTGGGGGAATCAGTCACCCTGTTGGATTGTGTTTCAATTCATACACTGATTCAGGAATTAAAACATCCTGTTGTATTCTCTGCGTGCTCATTTGAATTGATTGGGGGAAACAGACAACTGACTTTCTAATTCCGACCCTTTTCTTTTCCTCTCCAGTGGTACACGGACGAAGACCATGGGATCGCTACCAACGCTGCACACCAGCACATATACACCCACATGACGCACTTCATAAAACAGTGCTTCTCTTTACCTTAGCGCCTCTGACAGAACAGCATGCCACTTGAAGTTCATTTGTCAGTTTATTACAAAGAGCCACTTTGTTCTCCGTATCTTAAAACCACACTGTCAAGATGATCTTTAACAAGATATTCAAATCAAGAAATTTAACGTTAGCTTTGTTCCCAAATTTCCTATCTAGAACCCTAAGCAGGGACTACTGTCTTTGCAACGGATTATGGCCTTACAAAAATTTGAATTACTCGGTCTGGTTTTATTATTTAAAATCATTTCTACATCAGTTGCTGAAACAACTATGAATTGTTCTTTGGGGAGTTTTGCATAGATTTCCTGGCAGCATTTCTTTTTCTAATGGACTAGTCCAAACCTTGTTTTCTTTGAAGAAATGGCAAGATGTAGGCAGTGATATCACTGAAGTGGGGGTGAGCAAAGGCCGAGAGGGAAAGCCGCAGGGCATGGCCGGGAACCCAGAGCCAAGCATGTTGACCTGAGCAGTCTGCCGTCAGCTCCTCCCAGACCGAGCTGTTCACAGCCAGAATGGCCGTTTTCTGACAAAGACTATTCAAACTGTCTCAGGAAATCATCTATGCAAAGCATTCACTTCTGAGTAAAACCACAGCAGTTGAACGGACTCCAAAGAAATGAGAGAGAAACTGCCATCAACGCAGGCCGCCTGGGTGCCAGTAATGGCTGTAGGTGCTACAGAAACACAGCAGGGGGGATGGCAAAGCATTTTAATCATACTTTAAAAATCGCCGATGTTCCCTCCTGAAAGAGGCAGCTTGGAGTTAGGAGGTGAACATCAGCTTGCCCTGTTAAAAGACAAAAATATTTGTATCATAAATCCTAACTTAAAGGAGTCCTTGCATCCATTTTCTTATTTCTTTGAGTGTCTTAATTAAAAGCATATTTTTATGCCCTGCCTGGTGTGGTACAGTGGACTGAGCACCGACCTGAAAACCAAAAGGTTGCTGGTTTGATTCCCAGTCAGGGCACATGCCTGGGTTGCAGGCCAGGTCCTCAGTAGGGAGGGTGCACATGAGAGGCAACCACACATTGGTATTTCTCTCCCTCTCTTTCTCCCTCCCTTCCCCTCTGTCTAAATATAAATAAATAAAATCTTTTTTAAAAGAATATTTTTACTCCTTGGGCTTGTTTTTAAAAAGTAAACTATAAAGTTCTGTATTACTATTCCCATTCTACATACTGTAGAATTGCTAATGGTCATTTAATAAATGAGCCTTCATTTTTTTCAGAGGTAATGAGTTTCATGTCTCGAATCAGACCTAAGTCACTTTGGCATATGGACACATTTGTCCAGAAAGTTTCTCTTATTTTGCTTGTTAGCCAAAACAGCCTTGTAAACATGGTGATTTCATTTCTTATCAAAAATAGATACATAGAAATGTGTTAAATTAAGCAGTTCATAGGATTCTTATCCAATTCATATATAATTTCTGTTACCATATGTTTATCTATATGTACAGCTTTTGAAAAAAACAAAATAATTTTGGTTATTTATATAGTAATTCATAATTCTATTCCAGGTAACTATGATGAGGCTCACATTGTAAGAACAAATATCAGTGATATCTACAATAGCATCTTGGTAGCTCGGATGGATCAGTAGAATTAAAGAGAGTCCAGTTAATCACTTAAGGCTTTGACCACTTTAGGATCACACAACTATATCACTGAAAGCATAGATTTCAGAGGCTGACTTTAGCTACCAAAGTAATGCCTAGATAACTGAGAAAACATGACGTTTTGCTTAATTACTTGCAAAATGTCTTCATTTTTAAAAAAATTGATTTTATAAACTTAAACTTAGCTTCAGACCATTTGCTGGGAAAAGTTATTTCAGACAGAGTGAGCTATAGTATAAATATCTTAAAATGGAAGAAATGGGAAAAATCTGTTAATTCAACATTAAACTGATGAGTCATTCATAAGAATGGACAGAGGATTGTGACATTATAGCTTCAACTATCTTTCCGGAGCACGCCATGCAGTAGCTTCACTTCCAAGTCTCAAATCCCACTCATCCAATGGAATTATAAGCTGACATTCAAACCCTGTAGGTCTCTTGTTACAATTTTATTTCTTGATAGAATTCAATCATAGTGAGTAGTCGTACTGATTTTTGCAAAGTTCTATATCCAGAAGAGTAGTCATAGAGCATATGTTCACATCATAAAGCAAATTAAATAGAAATTTTATCTTAACTGAAATCATACATTGTACAATATCACATATTAATAACACCATTGTACAATATCTGATAATGTACGATGTCTGACTTGGTATTATTATACAAGTCATGTACAATATCAAAACTAAGAATGATTGTTCTTTTAGTGTCTAAACATGCTAAATATTTTCTCTGGGAACCAGAGATAATAAAATAATCCCAGCATATATTTTTTGCATAATTAAGATTATAAATGATAATAATGTGCCTGAAGTTAAAGTAGATTTCATTTGACCTTCCGAGGAGAAGCTTTACTCTCCAATAAGAGTGTTAAACTAGCATTTTGGAAAAGGAAGTTAAAGAAATTGACAGCTTAGAGGTAAATTTAGTCTGCAAGTTTGAAACACCCAGGAACTAATGATGCTGTAAGGTGTGGACTTGCCTGGCGTAGACAGCTTCCGTGGGCGCGTGGGCGCTGGGACTCCTTTCATGAACAACCTGTTGGAGAGCACCAGCAGCCAGGAGTGCATGCAGCAAAGGGAGGGGGACCACTTCACCTCTCTTCTATGGATACAGTTTGTTTTTTAAGTTTGGATCAAGCTTTACAGAAAATCACTTTAAAAATTATGTTTGAACATTTTTGGTTGGAAACCTTGCTAAAATTATTGCATACCTCCACGCTCTTTAAAATAGCAGGCATAGAATTTAACTCAATTTATCCTCAATGACTCAAGGTCGTCACCATCAAGATCAATGAATACATCAGCATGCTATTCTAGGTGTTTCCTTTCTTAGTCACAGGTGCTCACTGGGGATACCAGTGCCACCACTTGGCATCTGCTGATTTTGCTATAAGTTGATGTGACAATTCCAATTTATAAATCTACTAGATTTTTACAATATTTAAGATTTCATAATCTCTGAATGTAAAACATACCAAAAACACAAGAATGCCTTTTTTAAGAGTGCAAAGTGAAAGAATTTTTTTCTACTGAATTGTGACAGTTCTTTTTAAATACAGCCTGAATGACCTGGAGGGTGTACTCAAGGTTTCTGAGGGACACAAAGGTTTGAGAATGGGAGATGAACACATTAATAAAGCACAATGTCACTATCTATAAGAAAAGCTCAGAGGATAGTATTAGTAAGACCAATGTCATGCTCAGTAGAAATTTATCATCTTTCTGAATGTCACTTTTATATGATAATATTTAAGCCCAAGAATTTGAATAAAAAATGTACAGTTAAATTGAGAAGAAAATCTTTTCTTGTAGTACAGACTTTAAACTTCAATGAAGTCTATCAAAATTCTTATTCTATATAATCTTTCATCTGAACAAGCATCCCAAATTTGTGAGATATTTAAAACACAAGCATAGTGAGAAGTGTGACTCATCAAACAACCAAAACACTAACTATTCCATTAAGTTTCTCCTGCCCAAAGTCATGATATGTGTGACTCATAAGCAAGGGAATAAAAAGGATTTTATTGAGTAGGTCTGTTTTCCAATGTTAATCACAGCTATACGAGTGACAAAGAAAATGTAATATAACTGAAGAGAAATATTACACATCTCAACCCAAGTCTGGTTGCATGAGCTAGAATTGAGTGCCCTGTTAAATGAGGAAGGCTTCTATACCTCGTCTCCTGCTGGAGACACGGGATGCAGCAGCTGAGGTTACAAGGACATGGGTTAGCATCTCAGAGCCACCATTTTCGGTGAGAAACATTTTAAAGACCATTACTTAGCTTCCTTGAATCCCAGTTTCTGAATTTGAAGTGTGTGTATATATACACACCATATTTTGCCATGTATAATGTTCACCTTTTTGCCCAAATTTTTTAGGGAAAAATAAGGATGTGCATTATTATTGGGTATAAAATTACATACCATGGATATAATAATGGATATAATAATCCTGTGTATAATGTGCACAAAAATGTGGGCATGCATTATACACAGCAAAATATGGTATAGTCTGTTCAGAAGGTATCCAGCCATGTAACATGAAAAATAAGAGACATTTATTGAAGAAGATACAAGATACAAGAAACATTGTACATGGGACAATGATACCTCAGTCTCATTCAAGGTAGGCAACTTGGGACCTCACACAGTCCTCCCAATCGCAGTCAGCTGTCCCACTGTATTTTCCTGAATCTCATCGATGGTCTGAAATCTCTACTCTTTCAAAGGTGATTTTAGTTTTGGGAAAAGCCAGAAGTCACAGGGCACCAAATCTGTGCTGTATGAGAGCTGAGTACTTGGGTGATTTGATGTTTCACCAAAAAACTCCTCAAGGGACGTGATGCCTGAGTGGGCACACTGTGGTGTTGAAGCTGCCAATCACCAGTTGCCCATAGCTGTGGCCTTTTGAGTCATCCAAATAGTTTTTACAGAGGAATGTTCAAGCTTAACACAGAATTTGATGCAGATTCACTGCTATATTCACTCAGTCATTTTGAATGTGACAGCCACACAGTACACCTGCTCATTCAGTGCATCTACCGCCCCCACTGACTAGTACAGTGAAGTCATCATTTTTCACGTGTGTGCATTCCAGTCCACTCTCCTTGGCTGCCAGGTTACATACATGTTGTACAAACCATTCTCATTATATTAACAGTGGCTGGACATTTTTCAGACAGACCTTGTCGTATATATGCTATATGTACTGCATCTGGCATTGTATCTTATGCCTGGCACCTTCCTTTCCCCTTCTCTCCCTCCCTCCAGTCACAACTATCGAGCTGCTTCTCTCAGTCTGATGCTCCGTAAACTGTACAGGATTTCACTCGAGGCTTCAGTGTGCGCAGGTGCTAGACACACCTTCAAAAAGAAGCATTTATTTCTGTGCCAATACTAACATGTAAGTGAGAATCCTTTTTGGATCTTTAATCCTTCTTAATAAACTGATCTTCTGACACCCTGGACTTATAACTCTTGTAACTTATAACAGCCTTTGCTGGTGGATAAGATCACAGAACTAGGCCCTGAAGAGTTACAAGGGAGGGGAAAAAACACTATTCCTACTTTCAGGGAGCTATAAACAAACGACAGAAGTAAGTCACACGGCAGACATCTACGACTGCACCCGTCCTTGATAGCAAGATGACACTGACCCAAAGCTAAGTCTGTGGCAAAAATGGATGTAATGGAGAGAACGAAAGGATGGGCAGAGGGCGGGTGGTGTTGGCCCAGACGAGCCAGATGTTGCTGAACTTTGTACTGGATATAGATTTCTTTCGTAGTCTCAGGATTACTGCTGATATGCTTTTCAGAACTTTTTTTTTCAAATAAAACCTAAGACATTTTATACACAGGAGTTCTCTACATAAAAAGATTTCTAATAAAGCCACTGTGTCTGGAGTGACTAATTAAGGACCCAAGGAGTTTCAACCTCTGGAAGTCATCCTGGGAGCAGCATTCCTGACGAAGCAGTTCCGCTTTTTCTCCACAGTCATCTCTACAGAGCTGCCAGACTAAACTTCCCAAAAATCCATGCCTCCCCATTACTTAAAACTCTTAATGAATAAAATTCAAATAACCTAATACAGAATTCAACATGATTGATGTTTTCAACTTGTGCTCGTACCTTTTCTTACAGGTCTCCTCTACCCTCCTAACACTCTACCATATCGGGCTGTTTGTTGGCTTCCAAATATGCCATATACTAAATATGTCAGGATCCGGTTATAACACATACTTTAATTCTTTGTTTCATTTTTATTTCAATACTGACACATGATGGGGAATCTCTGCAGTTCTTGGAGTAGGTTTCCTGTCCCATTTCCATCCTAATTCATACGCTACCTCATATAACATTTTCCTCAAACTCTGCCTTACTCAAAGTTCCATCCTTGAATTATTCACTGCTTTAATCATAACACCAACTTAGCTATGTTGTCTGCCCTGCCCTTAAAAGCAAGCATTGCAGTGCCATTTTCAAAGTTCCAGCACAAAGGATAGGGGGCAATGAATCAATAACAACTGAATTAGAGTAACAGTTGTACCAGTGGGCTATAGCTTTCTAGGGAAAACATCCAAAGAGATCTCAAAAATAAAGTATTACCAGTAACCTGGAATGTTGGTTTTCTTCAAGGAGACTGATTACAAGTAGTCTTTCAAAGAAGGTACTTAGAGAATCATTATATTATCCAAATTACACTCATAAAATTTTCAAGTGGTTGTCATCTCATTTCATTCTATTGTGTGAATATATGAGATAAATATTTTGGAAAATATGGAGAGCAATCTTATAATAATAATAATAATATGATCAGGTGCCCAGGAGCACTAAAGTTAAACAGAAAGAAGCACGTCAGTGCAGATAACAAACTCACATCTATCAACAAGTGAACCTAAAAACAAACTAAGTAAACAAGTAGAACAGAAAGAGAATCACAGAAGTGGAGATCACGTGAAGGGTTATCAGTGGGGAAGTGGAAAGGGGAGAATGAGAGGAAAGTTTCGGGGAATAAGAAGCACAAATGGTAGGCACAAAATAGACAGGGGGAGGTTAAGAATAGTACAGAAAAAGGAGAAGCCAAAGAACTTATATGTACGATCCATGGACATGAACTAAGGGGGGGGGATGCTGGTGGGATGGGGGGTGCAGGGCAGAGGGGAACAAAAAGGGGAGAAAAATGGGCCAACTGTAATAGCATAATCAATAAGATATATTAAAAAAGAAAAACTGGGCCACACTTTCAAGAGCCAAGAAAAATTCTCTAAGATCTAGAGATCACATTGAAGTATGAGTTGCTTGTGGCTTGTCAGTGGGAAGTTTCTATCAGGCTACGTATGAATTTAAACTACACTGAGGAGATATTCAGATTATATCTAGGAAAAAGCTTCCCAATATCAAAAGCTGTGAAACGGTAGCAATTTCAAAGTAAACTCACAAGTCAAGAGAAAAATATTAACCCAAATGTTCTGAATGCAATTATCTCGCCCACAGACAGCCAGATGGCTACAAGAGAATAAGGGTCAACTGACCTACTGTGACAAACAGGGAGGAGACAATTTTAGGAAATGCTTTTGCCACAGTGGGTAAAAACAGAACTAAGAAGTTTCAATAAGGAGAAATCCTCCTAGTGACACTGGATGCTCTTACAGCTCACAGTACGCAACGCTGTGTGACCAGTACTGCTCTATGGGCAAAGGAAGGCGTACATTCTAATACAGCTCTCAAAATGTTCTGTTCATAAGGTTCATCGATACTCTTGAAACGTCTACTTTACCAAGTTTTCTTTATATCATGGGTGTCTAAATTCAAATATTATGTTCAAATAATCAAAATGTTCTACAGTGATTTACTGATTAATGCTACAGGGTAGAAAAGACAAAACACTCAGGTCACAATTTAAAATGTGCAAGAAAATTAGTTAGGTTAAATATTTATTTCCACATAACATTTCTTATTGTGAAAAACACAATATCCTAGTCACATTTACACATTACTTTGCAATAAATTACATTCAAGATAGTCACTAATTTTGACCAGGAATCTTAAATTAGAAGGAAATATATAGCACTACATTTTTTCCTATATTTTATATGATTTCAAAATATTAGGATTAACATGGGGTTATCATTAAGATTCACATGAAAACAAGATGACTATAAAAATACTCAGAATACAGAATTTCATTGGATATGATTGCTTAACAAACAGGTGATCATGTGAAGGTTTTATTTCACTATGATCATTTTGAACAGAATGGTTATTAATATATTAAAACACTGAGAGGCTGCTTATGGGACTGACTGGCATGTACAACTAGTTTAAATAATAAAACGAGAATGTTTATGATATAGTATCTGTATTATAAAATACACAAAGGCAACATATTAGAATGGAAAGTTTCTATATTTTCCCCTTGGCAATTATAAACACAGACTTTATTAACTGCATATTCTTCTTATATTTTTTAGGCTTATGTCCCATTAAATAAATGGCTCCTTAAGAGATTGTGATGGGAATTTTTCAGAAGGTATCAAAATGTTGAACCTAATGAAGGCTTTGTGATACTTTTATTTCCCTCATAAACTTAATCACAAGAGCATTTGTTTTTCATTGCTGTTGTTGCTCACTCTTCACACACATTATACACAGAATATGTAATTAATAGCTTTCAGGACAGGGCTTTGAATGATTATGAAATTGGACATTGAGGATTATAATGTTGATGATCACTGATCGTTATTAGGAAACAAGCGTACCATGAGACATACTCTTTGTTAACTTCCCATTCATTTAAAACAAAAGAAACACTGTATTTTTAGTAATGCTCAAAAATCCTTGACTTTTCTTCCTCTGGATAAGCTTAGTAAAGATGATTTCAAATGAACTGAAATATCTACAGAAGCTTTTCAAACAGAATCTAAAAATTTCATTTATAAGATTATTTTTTTTACAACATGCCTTTAATTAAAAAGTGGAAGAGAGCTTTACAGAAAGAAATGTCCCGAGAGACCTGCCAGTCTAACATCGGAACGTGAGGCGGGAGCAGCGTCAGCAGCAAACGACTTTTTGCAGCAGAGCACCTGCCCAGGAGTGGGGTTTTGCATGCAGAGACTCACCGTGGGTGTTCCACGGGTATGTGTGGGTATATTTATATATATAATAGGTCTATTTGGAAAATATCTGTTGCCAATAGGAGAGGAATTTAACAGCATATTCCTGATAAAGGGTTTTTGGAAAATCTCACAAAACTTGGTTTTCTAAAGCATTTCCATACAAGCCCAATATTTGATTATGTGAGCACAATTTGAATCTTATGCAAATACTACTTGACTCTTTGCATTCATGTCTGATTCTTTTAAACAAGTTGTGAATAGGTCTCTGTGTATTTTTTCAAATTTAAGTTTTAGTTACATATAAATTCTGAAGTATTAAATGTATCATATTAAATCAAGCAAGTGCATAAATTCAGTTATTAAAAAATGCTTTCCAAAGAAATTTTTGATTTGGGTCTTTTGAAATAAGTCACTAATGCTAAGCTATAAAAAAATAAGAAGACTACCTTTCAAAATTCTTCTCAGTGAAATTACCAGGTATCTTCAGGTCGCTACAAGTAAGAAAATACAAACTAGGTAAATATTACTTATCTCTTTAAGAAAGCTATTGCTCTCACAAAACTGACAATGAGAATCCAGTGTTTACAAATGCCCCCCACACACAAGCAATGCAGAGGTTCTTGCATTAGCTACCGCAGATGCTCACAGGGGTGCCTCGATGCTCAGAAGTTTAAACACAGAAATGGAACAAGCGGTGCACTACTTACAGTATGAAGGTGGGTTTGGGATGACAGACAGAATTTACAATACATGATCAAAGCAGTTTTATTAATAATTGTGGCACTCTTCTCAGATATTTGTAAAAAATAAATTGAAGATCAAGTCATAGACAAGTCTCCCTGTCAACACCTTTCTGTGAATCAGCTTTCTTCTCTTTTCGGCTTTCAGTGCTACAGGAGGGAGAAAAAGGAGACGTTTATTACTGAAATCCAGCATGTAGACTGTAAGATCTGTTTGCTCAGACGCAAAACCCACCAACCCCAAAGCAGCACAAGGGACCTTTGCATTGCTTTTTCATGCTGCAAAGCATACACAGATAGATAGCAACAATTAAAATCCTCTCTACTCAGTGAGATAGAGACCAAGAATTGCAGAAAGGGAGGAATTCAAAAATGAGACATTTTTAAAACTGTTCCAAAAGCATGCAAGATTAATACCACGGTTTTCATTTGGGCAAGTGAATCACCGCTGATTAGTGAAAGCTCCAGTCATGCCTTGTCTTAAGATAGTACTAACTCTATAAATGACACAACCAAGATGTCACAAAGCTATTTCTGGGCTCTGCTGCAAGTGGCCCGTCCTTGGTGCTTGGACTGGATCCTGATGCTCAGAGAGAACTGCGTCCTGGTCAGTAGGAGACACACCTCTGCAGGCCTGGAAGGAGGTGGTCAGCCTGCACGCTGCCCGTCAGACCCCTATGCTGCCTCTTCACAGGCGAACCCTGTCCAGCAAGGGAGCAATGTCTCACCTCACCCCTTCCAGCATAAACTCTGTCTCAAGTGGCTTCTATTTTATCTATTCTTCACTTAATTTTATTAATGAGCAAGCTGGTGATGTGACTCTCCCATTTTTATCTTCTTTTTACTCAGTATCATTTATTTTTCCTACTCTCATGTTGACAGTTTTTATGTAAAATTCGAACAATGCGCTCCTATGCACAAAGCTCACACCAAATGTATGTGCTCCCAGCAGGGCAGAGTGCTCACCCCCCAGCAGTTCCAGCCCAGGGCAGAGCCCTCCGTATCTGAGCTGCTCTGCATCCCACTCTGTTGCTGGCAGCCCCTGAGGACCTGAGCTCGGACTGCCCAGGCATTGATACTGCTAACTTTTGCCCTTAATGTAGACTTAGGAAATAGTTGCTGGTGGGGAAATCCTGGGCTTTATAACCTTCTCCAAGTCGTAAAGTGACAGTTGAAACCCTCTTTTCCACGGGGCCTCCTGTTCAGGTTTTATAATGGTCAATAACTTAGACACATTCTGAGAGCGTGTTTTTTAAATTGTTTTTCCTCCAATTCAAGCTAGAAACAGCCCTTCTCAGTTGTCACCACCACCCGGCACCATCAGGTAAGAAGTGTCGGAGCTTCTGCCATCAGTGGCATGCTGCCAGCGCTGAGAGCTGGTGTGAGTGAGCGTCGATGGCGCTCAGGTTTATGCCTGCCACACTTCTTAGCACACACTACTTACAGGTCAGAGCGAAGCAACTTTTCTCCCTTCTCTTCTCTCTTTCCATGAAAAGAGTTGACAGTGTGCACATGATGTGTTGAGAGCCTTAACTCTGTATTTTTAACTTCTCTATCTAAATGACTCACTTTCTTCTACTTTAAGTTTCTTTCCTATGACAAGTGTCTGCTGCCCCACTTCCAAATTAGCTTTTCCTTGGGCTCTACCTGACTCTAGTCTCATCTGCCAAACAGAGCCAATGAAAAGGGCCAGTAGTGGGCAGTGAAGGAAGCCAGGGGCTTGGAACAGAAAATTGCATTCAGTTCCCAGAAGCTAAGAATGAGCTGTATGACTTTGGCTGGCCATTGAACTTCACTGGAACTTTGTTTCCTTGTCTGGAAATTAGTTTTGACTAGGTGACCAAGTTTGCCTGTAGTTTGAATGCCAGGCTTCTGAGGCTGATATGCTTAACTTTAATGAACTCTTCTTGTCTTTGGAAAGACAGAATAGCAGATCCTCTCTGTGGGAAACTGAGGGGACAAAAACACACTGGCCCCCACACATGCACAGTCCTGTGTGCTAAATGTACTGCTATACAATCTTTCGACAAGTGAGCACGTTCCTCATGCACGATTAGTCACCAAGGGTGGACAAAGAGACTCAGAATGTCGACCTGACTCACAGACACGCTTCCTCCTGACGACCTGCTTTGTTCATACTGGGTGTTTTATTACAAAACCACTACTGATTACAACTGGGGTTTTTCTTCTTTAAAAACAGTAGTTTGGGTATTAAATTAGATTTCAGCACGCTATGAAGCAGAAATTTTATAACCACATCATAGTACCTCTAAAAAATATCAACTTGAATTTTCTTACTATATGGCTATTACTCTGTTCCTTGTTATACTGATTTTCCTATTGCTTATCAGTTCTACATTTTCATTGTTGTAAATAAACAACATATATTTATTAACTATATACCATATCTATTATGTATTATAATAAACATGCATTGTCATATATTGCTATTATGTGCCATATATATGGCATGTATCATATGTTTAATATAATATGTATTATATTAAATAGTATTCTGCAAAGACCAAGGGATACAAGATGGATGAGACAGTGTCCTTGACCTTGAGGAGTTACAATTTAAAATTAAAGAAAGTAATATTTTAAGAGACAGCAAACCCTGACCCACCACATCCATGCTGCTAAGCGATCTTGAAACTGTTATTTTTCAATAACACCAAAATAGTTCTTATTAACAATATCAACCAAAAAGTTATGATAAGGCCTAGCAAATCAAAGGAAGCAAGAGAATCCAGCATAGAAGAAGTTAGTGAGAGTGGGGGTACATGAGGGAGCAGAAAGAATGTCCCATTCATGGGTTCAAAATAAATGTCAGTCATGAGAATATGTGGAAGATTTGAGACTGTTGAATGCTTCTTACAGTATCAAATGGATCCTCAGTGCAAACTCTGTCTCTGGTTTTCTTTGGTTCAAGCAAAAGTTTTTGTGTCATGATATTTTAGGTACTCTTTATAGTAAACAGTAAAGTCTAATATTGCTTTTCACTAGAAAAACCTAGTTGTTTGAAAAAACACATATCTAGATTACTTTAGACAGTAGATTAACTCTAGTGAACAAAGTAACATGCTTTAAGCAGGTCTAGTGTTAAAGGTCATCCTTTATATTTTGATATAACCACTTGTGTTTTATTCTTTGAACACATGTTCCCACTAGCATTAGATTCAAACTGCTGTAGAATGAAAGTTTACTCATTTTTTATCTTTAGATGTGATAAAATCTGTAGGTTTCCATGTGGAAAAATATATCTTGGCTAGTGGTAGGTCTCTCGTTTTCATAACTGGAAAATGACAGGAAGAGTATGGCTTCCAGAAAACTTAAAACCACCAATACTAATAACAGCAATACCTTCCCAAAGCCACAGCTGTGTGTTTGTATCTGCTGAGACACTGAAGTATGATGACCAAGAACCATAAAAATTTTGTGCCTCCTAGACTACTATACCCACTGGCAAAAACAAGCTTAAAGACCAGGATACCAGGATCTGTATCTCCTGAGACTTAAACTGGCTCCCCATCCTCAACCCCTAGTTTTCCATCCTTGCATAAGGTCTACATGCCCAACACAGAAACCCGATACCTGTTTTTGGTGGAGTTTGGAATAGCAGTTATACTTTCTCCATTATTTCATTCGCGTCTCATTATCTAGAAAGAGAAACCTAAGAACTAACTGCAGACTCTACCACATCTGTGCGATGTCTAATTTAATCCTAGTCCAACAGTGCTCTTCATACAGGGGACAAGCTCCTCTGCAGCTTAGTGAATGGATTGGTAGAGACAGAATAGGCAAGCAACCACTATGCTTTATAAAATTGACACCCAAGATCCAGGTTTCTTGGGAAGGTGCCTGGCAACACTGGGAAAAGCAGCATTTGGTTTTGCCCTGGTGGGACACTCTAGGCTCTGGGGCCACTCTCCCTGCTTCCCTGTGTCCCCCACACCCACCACCTTCTTCTATCCTGGATTCTGTTGTTTGCTCTGATTTCCTAGGCCCTGTCATGACTGCTTGGTAATGTTTTGGGTTCACATTTTTTAAATCACAGAAATGCCATATTTTTAATATTAAGGGGTCCACAAGCAATATTTCAAAGAGTTTGAGAAGTTACCCCTCTCCTAACTCTGATTTCCTTCCAAGACTTGTAGCAAAACTGAGTCAGTGTGAAAATGACTCTCCCAGACTATAGCAGAGATCTTTGGGGAAGGAAGATAGAGCATGTTTTAGAATAGACTACGACTTCTGCTTGAGCTAAGCAAAATATACGTAAAGATTTTAAAGTCCCGTTAAAAGACAGAGAGCATCAGCCAAAAGTCTTTGAGAGAGCCTACTGAGTAGTTTATATTAAACTCCTTCGAAGTGTCGGAGGTAGGTGACAGAGGGGGTTGGTTGGGTGCAGAGGGAAGGAGGGGGACAGACACAGAGAGCACAGACAGAGACAGAGAGAGAGAGTGAATCCCCAAGTTTCTGGGGGTGAATGCTGCACGTCTACTGTCTGTCTTGTTTATGCCGTGGGGTTAGACATGACACTGAAGCAGCATGCCATTTTGGGGTGACAAAAACCAGCAACAAGAGATATTCTCTAAGCATAATGTAGCCTCTTTTTCCAGACCATGTTTCCAAATATTTTTCAGGAAGCAGACAAAGCTTGTAGGTTTGGAAGCATGGTGGTGCATAAATGGAAGTGCCCAGCGTTGCAGTCTCTTAATGCAAGGGATAAATCTCCTTTTTCCAATGTAGAAATTTCATGTCATTACTAAATACAGTTCTGTGAAGTATGTTGGTTTACATGGGACGAATCTGTATAAATCATGTGGGGGAAAAGTTTATTCAAGTTTCAACCCCCTTTAAAGAGCCGAGTCGTCATAGGAACGCCATAAACACTCAGGCTGACACTGGATCTGAGCCCACAACTCTGCATGTCTTTTGCCTCCCCAAAACTCACAGAGAACAAAGGCTGACCAGGTTTTAGAAGACATCAGTCAACATAAGGAAATACAATTAAGGAGTAGGTTTGAGGGAGATAGTCTTACCTTTGGGGAATCAGCTTCTAGAGTGATTAGGAAGGGGAGCTTATGACAAAAATGTAATATAAAAATTAAGTAGAAAAAGTTAATTTAAGGTCATGAAAATAAAAGGAAATTAATAATTATTCACTGTCCCAAATCCCTCAATCACTCTTCAATAAGAAGAGATATTAGCATAACAGAGATTTTTCTTTAGATCAGCATCTAAAGGCTGATGGTTTGAACTCTTATTTATAAATTCTGGAAAATTCAGTTGGAAATCCTATGATGACTCTTGATATTTAAGGACACGTTCTTCCCCCAGCATGCATTTAAAAGTACCATGCACAACTACAGGGATTGTTTGTAATGTTTTCATACAGGTAAGTAAGAATGAATAGAACTTTCTGGAGCTGAGAGTTTGGGGTAAGAAGGTTAGGGAAGATTTTCAAATGGTTGAGTGGGAGACTGGAAATGTACTAAATATAAAACCACCATTTCATGTGCCATGTGAATTTTAAAAAGGACATGAGGGGGTGCAAAACGTGGTCAGACATCAACAGGGCTCTTGGGAAGTGAGTGATAAGGGAATACAATACAATCCTACTGCAGAAGAGTAGGCCAGAATAAACGTCCAAAGATGTCGTGCATTGGGACCCATTTATAGCACCAACTCCCCCCACGGTCATCATTTTGGAGTGAACTTTTAATTTGAAAGGGAGATGAAAAATATAACAACAAATGTGATAATTATAATTTTTACCCACTTTTAAAAAGAATTATCTGAAATGTGTTAGATATAAATTTGATGAAAAGTTATTACACTTTTGCTAATGGATTCATGTCATAAAATGACTGAGATCAGTTTAAATTCACATTATTTTAGAATTCAAACCTTTTAGAAGGGAAGCTTGACTCCTTATCTTTTGAGTTATCGGCAGTAATCAGAAGGTTCCTCCACAAGGCAGTCTTCGACATTTCATCAGAAATATTGATCACAGATGGATCATCTCTAGATTGTTTACCCAAAATGAAATAATAAACATTAGATAAGTAATTGAAGTTATCTAGTGATAGGAACTAGATAAATATAAGACAGTCTTATATAGTATAGTATTTATGATAATTAAAAATTAAGAAGTATCAAATAGTTTTCTCAATTATTTAAAACTTTATGAAAAATAAAAATCTACACAAAATACTCTAGTTACATAGAAACTGTTTTTGGCTATAGTTATCCAAATTCATTTCAAATTGTAGTGATCAGGTTCTGCACATCCACTGCTTAGCCTCTTCCCCTAATGTTGGTAGCACGGCAGGTCATTCATTCCTCTGCTCACATTCTACAGTGATTCCCACTCAGAGTAAAAGCCAAATAGATGGACAATAAGGCTCTGTTCCCACCCCCACCCTCCAACTGCATCACCTGCTCGTACAATCCTGCTCCTTTCTCTTCCACCAAAATGTAGCGGCCTCCTGACTACACTAATGCTCCTTCACATGGTACAACCCTTTCCCTCCTTTATTCAGATATCACCTACTCAGGACTTTGCTGATTCCTCTGTTTAAAATTTCTACTTCCATCCCCTCATAGCACTCTCATTCCTCTTTTTTGCTTCTTGTTTTTACTGTATATTTCATCACCTGAACTACTATACTATTTTACTTTTTCATTCACTTATTTTCTGTCTCTCCCTATCTCTAGTCTTCTTGACTATAAACTTCATGAGGGATTCTTACAAGTACCACGCACTAACCGATTGCACCGCTGGAGCTCCTCATGAGGCATTCTTGACCATTGGTCCACTGCTGTTCCCCCAGAGCTTGGAACTTCCTACTTACTCAATAAATATTTGTTGAATAAATGAAGGCAACCTGTGTACTTGGCAGAGGTCTTTCCAATGGCTAGGGGAGCTTGTAATATCAACACCTGTACTATGTTGGGTGCTTTTTTTTACATTAAAATGGCACCAGTTATAGGTCACATTCATAATGCTCCAAAATATTTCCAGGGCTACAAACACAACCAAATTGCAGCAGAGATAAATCATAAGCCAAGTCAAGGAAAGTTTCACTGCATAAGAAAATAGCACTCTTCTTACTACACATAGAAAACATACTCTGCTGTGAAAAAAATTAGGTTCTAAAGAAATCCTAGGTTGACCTCACTGGAGTTAGCTCACCAGAGAGCAGCAAATCCAACTTTTAAGAGAAACATTAAGGGCCTGGAGCAAAACTTGGGCCCCTTCTGTTACACCGTCTGGACAAGTGCTCTTTAGTTCTTCCAAAACACCCAGCCTTGATAACGCAAAGCATAAGATCAAGTAATTCCCCTGAAAATATTATGTGGAACCCAGTTTTTTATGATATTACATGGCAGTCTCATGAACAAGCAAGTATGGAAAATGCTTGATTAAACAGCTGAACTTTTTTTAATGCAGTACTACTTAGATTTTTTAATATGCCAATGTGATGTGTAAATGTCCAAACTGGAATACAGTACAGGACATTTTCCAAATGTATTCAACCACATAATCCTTTTGAAAGTTCAGGTACCATGTGAAACTAGGTTTCTACAAAACGCAATCAATATGTTGATTCAACTAAACAATCAAAAGAATCTTAAAATTTAAATATTATTTTCACAAAGATAAAATACTTTTTACACTTGTTCTCATGCCTAATTGATACATAGTTATATTTTTTAAATCTAGGGCATATGATTTTACAGTTAGATCCTAAAGATCTAGAAGATTCTCTCTTATTTTTTTAACATTATGACAAATTTCCTCCTTAGAGAAAAGTCTCCTCTGCCATTTTATTGGCATTGCCTTATATTTTTCTTAAGTAATTTGAGATCATATATACAATTTTTTGCCAAACACTTTTTAAATTTTTTATTATAATTTATAGGAGTTTGCTTTCTTCTGCTAGCCTTCATGCATGAAGACAATTCACAAATTTTAGAGTTACATAAACATTTCCTAAAATGACTGGTAAAGCAGAATCCTTTAACTCATAAAATAAATTATTTCTTTGAAAGTGCCTTTTAGAGACAACATCCCAGAGTTTAAACATTTAGCTGTGGTTAATTTAGTGAACACCTAGCTCATTTAGCCCAGAATTGAATCTTGACTTGTCTTCAGGTACTATTTTCAGAGGATATGAAAAAAAGTTTTTATATCCACTAAAAATATGAGAAGACTTGAAACAATAATTCCCAACCTCCCTTCATTTTAAGCTACTTGGCCAGTCACGTAGCTGTTAGTGACAGAACCTAGTACTGGGACAGGCTAATCTAGTTTCTAGTTTCAGTTCTTTCTACTCTAATACAACTTCAGTAAAGCTTTAGAGGAATCCTTATAGTACAAAAATTTTAAGTAGAGTATATGTAGCAAAACATTCTGTTCCTCAAATTGCATGTTCTTACCTGTAATGTCCCTCCAATGGCAGTTGTACTGCACCCTCATCTTCCATAGCTAGCATACTTTGTTCTTCCTGGAAAGATAAATGTGAAATATATAAAGTGAACCTGATGAGTCTTTCTTTTACATTGAGAAAAAACACAGATTAATGTTTCACTGTCTCATTAACCCCAGGACCTTCCACTTTGTTTGCATTTATTAATGCTAGCACAGGTCCCTTTGACAAAGAAAGCATCAGTTACCAAGAACATAAGTAATTAATGAGAGTCTCCTATCACAAAGTAATTTAAATGCTAACAACAATCTCCTTAATGTCACTCAATGTAAAACATGGTTAATTTCAAAGCAGATTTTTTAAAAAGCTCAATCTAATTTTATAAGGAAAAATTGTTTTCATTGTTATAAAATTGAAATTATATTCCCAGAATGCTCTATTAGAAGGGAATGAGGGATGTATTTAGAGCAGTGATCCTCAAACGTTAGTTTATGTTAGAATTAAGAGCTTGTTAAAAGTACATGTTGCTGCCCTGACAGGTGTGCCTTGGTTGGTTGGGTGTTGTTCTGCAAGGCAAAAGGTCGCCTGTTCGATTCTGGTCAGGGCACATGCCTGGGTTGCGGGTTCGGTCCCTAGTTGGGATGCATACTGGCAGCAGCCCTGCTTGATATCTCTCTCTCACATCAACGTTTCTCTCCCTCTCTTTACCCCTCCCTTTCCTTCTCTCTAAAAATAAAATCTTTTAAAAAATACAGATCGCTGGGTCCCACCTCCAGAGTCTCTGATTCGGCGGGTCTGAAGTTGGGCCCAAGAATTGACATTTCTAGCAAGTTTCCAGGAGACATCGATTATGCTTGTCTGAGAACCACTACTCGAGAGACTTCAGAGGCTTGCAAAGAGACACTAGCAGGTGTCTGCTTGTACAGACCGAAACTCAAACGTGTTTCCCCTTAGGAATGCATCGCAGGCTCTTGTTATATGCTTCAGATTTCTGTTTCCAATGACAATATCTCACCTTTCCCAAAGAGTGAAAATACTTTATATATTTATTTCCCCATATATAACTATATATATGGAGAAATATATATGAAAAAACTATATATGAGGAAGCTATATCTTTGGGACAAGGATAATTTTATGTTACCATACTGAAATGTTCTGGTTTAGATTTCAATAGTGTTATCATCACTTTTCCATATACACACACACAAAAGAAATTCAATTATCTGTAGATTATAGCTCCAGGTTAATGCACTTATTTTCAAAGTTTCAAAATTATCAATGTTCAAATTAAATTAGCAATGGTATTTGGGACCATTCAAAAATGTTAGAATTATTGGTTCAAACTCTAGAAATGGAACTTTAAGTTGTATAAAGATGAGGAGTTAGGTAACTCCCTGACCAAATGGGAACTGAAAAGAAAAAATACGAATAACCAGGAGGCTGATTGCCTTCCCTCTTTCAGTAGCTCAGCAGTAGCTTGGCTGATTTAAATCAGCTTCTGGAGAGATATAACCTTTGGCTGACATCAATATTCTAGGCATGCAAGGCTGTTCCTACCATCCTCGGAATACAGACCTTGGCCTTCAACTTGCATGGTGCCTAATTTGAAGAGCTCTATCCATACTTCTTGTTAGTCAAGAAACAGTGTTCACTAGAGCCTCTTCAACTAACCTATGACTACATAACTTAATGTAGGGGCAGGTCTCATTTTCACTCTTAGAGTGCTTGCTTACATACCCAACCAGCTAACAAAGGCAGGCTCCCATGTGCTGGGACCTTGGCCATGCTGCACGCAGAATACCTATGCCCAGCCAATGCTGTGGAACTGTGGACAGGCCAGAGGAGTGCATGAGTTCTGCTGCTTCTCTGCTTATAAGCACACCCCTCCAAATCCTATATTACATTTATACCATTGTAATTACAGAAATTAACTCTATTCTCTTTCTCTGTTATTCGTTAAGGAAAAATTTTCTTTCAGACCCATTGGATATTCTTTATTACTTGTGTATTGTGCATATTCCCCTTGGCATTTGGCAGTCCTATTAGAAAAATTTATGGTGAGTAGATAGTACCACTGGTTTTAAATTACACATTTAAGCATCTAAGCAGGGCACATCTGTAGCCTTGAATATGACATGACTTGCAAGTGGGTTAGTCACTATACATGGAACATAATACATATGACATATTATGTCATATGTACAGCCTTGAGGCTATGAGCAGAGGTAGTAGAAGGGAAGAAACTCTAGATGAAAAGGAAATATGTAGACCAAGGATAAAAGGTGGTTATAAATAAGATGTGTTTGCATGGCAATGATTCCTCCCAGATAGATATGATTATTTATCTACAGAAAAGTTTACCTTAATGAGCAGGGATGAACATAAAGAAGAAACGTTCAGTGCTCCCAAATGCTGTTGAAGTAAAACCAAGGAACAACCAAAATGCAAATCTTTATTTGATTATCTACTAAAAGGTAAGGTTGGTATATGGTGTATCTTTTATAGCAAACCTTGAATAAAATGTCAAAAAGCCAGATAGAAAGGTTTAATAAAACAGTAAACTTCCAAAAGCCAAAGAAAAGAATAGTGTCATCAGTTCTTAGGTGACCCGGCAGCAGAAACCAAGGCTCAAGGTTCAATCTAACAGCAAAAAAATGGGACCAACCCTTTGGGAACAATTTTGTTTTTGCCTCAGATGATTTTCCACTTTTCTCTCAAATTGCTTTCAATAATTATTTTGCACTCTGTGGCTTGTTAGCATGTGTGGGCTTTATACTAGTCATAATTCTATCCAAACAAAAACTCATCACCTCTAAAGATAGCATTTGTAAGCCATGCTTATCTGAAGAGAAGGTGGCAGAGCAGCCGCTGCCTTCCGTGCCAGAAGGAGGCTGGGTGGGCCCCTGCACTTGGGATGGAGGGCTGACTGCATCCCAGGCAGTGCTCGGAGGAAGCCAAAAATTGAGACTTTCTGGGGAAGAGCAGTCAAATCAGGCACTAGTCGTCACGACAATTACAACCTAGTTTATCTCAATCATACAGGAAAAGAAAGAAAGTGAGAGCATAAATCTAACTCGGTATTCATTGCCTTGTAAGTCCAAAGTACCTTAAAATGAGGTCCTCTCAGCCCTTCATTTACACAGCATCTGTCAAAAATGTGATGAACCCTACCTACAGCATGGTGAAGATGTTAAAAGGATGATGATCATAGATGACCCAAGAATATTTGAGGGTCATGACACATGGACATGAACCAAAGTGGGGGAATGCGGGTGGGAGAAGGTGTGCAGGGGGGAGGGGAAGGAAAGGGGGAAATGGGACAACTGTAAGGGCATAGTCAATAAAATATATTAAAAAATAGGAACAGATGCCCTGGCTGGTGTGGCTCAGTAGATGGAGCGCTGGCCTGCAAACTGAAAGGTGGCAGGTTCAATTCCCAGTCAGGGCCCATGCCTGGGTTGTGGGCCAACATTTCTCTTCCTCTCTTTCTCCCTCCCTTCCCCTCTCTCTAAAAATAAATAAATAAAGTCCTTAAAAAACAGTATAGGGACAGAGGAAGTGGTATCTGAGTCCATCTTATTTTATCAGTTTGGTACTAGAAAGGAAGAAACTCTAGATGAAAAGGAAATATGTAGACCAAGGATAAAAGGTGGTTATAAATAAGATGTGTTTGCATGGCAATGAAAAACTAGTCCGGCCCTGGCTGCTGTGCCTCAGTGGACTGAATGCTGGCCTTCGAACTGAAAGGCTGCCTGCCAGTTTGATTCCTGGTCAGGGCACATGCCTGGGTTGTGAGCTAGGTATTCAGTAGGGGGTGTGCTAGAGGTAACTGATCAATGTATTGCTTGCACATCAATGTGTCTCTCCCTCTCTTTATCCCTTCCTTCCCCACTCTCTGAAAATAAATACATAAAATCTAAAAATCGAACAAAAAAAACCCTAGTCTAGCTAGAGTCAAAGGCCTGCACTGAATATTAGTGGAAAATAAAATTAGAGTTAAATTGTGGGGTGTTTGATGAATATGATACTACATATAAAATTACATTATGAATCTGAATTATATCTTTTGATAGGATAAAAAATACAGTTCTTAGCCCTGGCTGGTGTGGCTCACTGGATTAAGTGCCAGGCTACAAACTAAAAACTACAATTCATATACCAAGAACCTAACAATTTACTACTGTTAATGGAACAGGTAGCATTTGTTACTATGTCCATTTCTCAGGCAAAGTCCTTACCTATGCACGAGCCTTCAAATAGCCTGAAGTACAAATACAAGCAGATAGTCAATGTTCACAAAGATTCCTAGAGTATTGGAAAGAGAAATATCCAGCAATTTTGACATTCATAGATCTTAAGAAATGTAAGGGATTCCAGAAATCAAGTTTAACCCCTTCATTTTATCTAAGACATTAAGAGAATACCATTTTCTTTCTCGATTACTGATAGAATAATGCTGCAGACACTACATATAAATATAGATTATACATACACATACAATACTTGGAATACCATAAAATACTATATCTCTAAGATGTACTTGTTAAAATTCCCAAAGATGGAAAAGCCAATATATACACTACTCAGTTTAATGGTGAAAACTAAAAAGAATAAAAGGGGCAGAGGAGTAGTCCACTCAGAATTCATAGAAGTAGATGGATGTAACATGTTTTTCATCAGAATATTTGACTGTCTCTAAATGACTTATGTGAATATTATAAAATACAAAAATTCTCATCAAGTAATCTTAGATTTAGAAGAGTATATTCTGGAGATAAAGATATGGTGGTTTGTAGGAAAGGTCTCATCTGGAATTTAGCATGGATTTGAATCACCTGGAGGTCTTCATAGACCAGATCACTATCCTGCCCCCAGTTTTGAATAGAAAGTCTGGCACAGGGTCCAAAAGTTTGTCTTTCTAACAAGTTGCAGGTGTCAGCTCATGCAGAAGTCCTGGGACTACACTTTAAAAACCCACTGACTGAAGAAAAATAAGCTTATCTCATTTTAAGAGTCAGTTAGAAATAACATTTGTCTGTGTAGTAATTAGGCTACACATCCCAAATCCACAACCAATTCTGACCTTTCTTAGCAGTAAGACGTGCTCTGTAATTTGCTTAATTGCACTTGTTTTTAGATTGCTTTTGCATCTTCTTGGCCTGGCTCATGATCCTGCTTCCTACAGATCACAAGTCTCACTTGCCCCCTTTTTGCCTTTTTCTATAGCGTATATGTTAGAGTGAATGTCCCATAGACCAAGAGGTGTCACATCATGAACACTGCCCAGAGTTGAATTTCCAGGATTTATCAAACATTAACCACCTTCTCCCCCCACCCAGGAGCACACATTCTGCTGGGGCTTTCTGCTTTTAACAGCAGCCCTTTTGTCAAATGTGTACAATGTCCTAGAGAATATTTAAGTCACAAGGAAGGCATGTTGGTACTCTGAGCACATTTGGACATCCAGAATTTGATTCTGCAGTCTTCCCTTTACACAGAGCAATGTGCAAAATGTCAGGGTTCCAATATTCATTTCTATCCTGATTATAATCCTTTCTTTCTAAAAACTGAAGCATATGCATATGCATATGCATGAAGTACATGAAAATTTGGAACAGAAGCTCTGCGACCTTGGACTGGCCTGTGTAGCTATTTATTCTGCTTAACGCATTATTGAATTTTAAGGTTAAACTAATGTTTTGTCAATGCCATAGACCGGAAGTGGGCTAATGATAGGAAAACCCTGGAGCATGAAGGTACAACCTTGTAACTATCAAGAGGACGAAGGGTGAGCCTTCCTTAAATTCAAGTCTCAGGGTGCTGAGACATTTCTGCTCTTTATCATCTTCCAGATCAAATCAAAGTTACTCAATTAATTTGAGTAATTGCAGAAATGCATCAGAGAGCTTGTCCATTTACCACCTTCACGCACAGTCTTTAGAAAAACTGGGCCTCGGCGTAACCTGCCACAGTAAGGAGAGCACACCCTTCAGCAGAGCCCTCACCCTCAATAAAAAGTGAAATACTGAGGTCCAGGCGAGCACGTAGAAAATCAACCCTCATATAAGTTTCAGTGTATTACTCCTTAAATCTTCTTACTGACTATAGTAATCATACTCTTTCAATACTAATTCCCAGTTAGAAAGTGAACATCTTTAAACTTCCTTTTCTTCCTGTCATTGTCAGAGAATTACCTTTTTATTCTCCCTGGTCAGACCTATATTTTAATGTTCAATTACGGATTATTTCTTCAGCCTATTATTGGTTCTCTTGTTTCTTTCCTTGTACTGAGGATCACAGGAAAGTGTCATCATATTAATCTATTTGAAATGTTAAGGGTTCTTAAACCTCCCTGATTTAATGTACTGCAAGGGCTTTCCCCACTTTTTCTCATATGCAGATCTGAAGGATACTGCTGTAAATTTGCCTCCACCAATCTTTAATGTATTTTCATGTCCTGTTGGAAAACATGAGTTCTAGGAAATTTAGCACTATTTAATTACCTTTAAAATCATCTTCATAATCAGAAAACACTAACCACCCACTGGAGTACAGTGGATCTGTATCATAAAAAGTTTAGATGTTCATTAACTAGCATCTCTGCCTATCTGAAATCAATCAATTCCAAAATGGAGGTGCGGTACACATGCATATAAGTATCACACACATGTGTGTGGTTCTTGGCAAGGGAAATGGAAGATTCTAATACATGTATGATTACTATCAAATTTGTTCCTATTTCACAGACAGATAAAGGAAGAAACTAAAATGGCTTAATGATAAAATATATAAACATAATATTATATAGAAATATCATTTTTTATTTCACAAAGTTCTAAAAGGGCAAAGATGTTCCGTAGTATGTATCTGGAAGGAGAATGCCACGGAAGGATTATTATACTGTTGCTACCTTTTTCCTACAGAAGTAGTAAAGATATCTGATAGGAAATCAAAGCTAAAAAATAAAGCAAAATTACATTTGTAAGTTACTTAATAGTATTCTCATTTTCAGAAAGATGAAGGGGAAACATAGATTTTGAATTCAAATTATCTTCTTTGGAATTTAAAACTTGGCAATTGTTTTCAACCTGAATAGTTTTAATTACATCAAGTACACATAACTTAAGTCTTCAGAATTTCTACATTCTGGTGCCGATCTTATTTAATTTATACCAAATTGTGTCGTATTTTTCTTGAATAGTATCTGATGATGAGAGCAAAACTTTACCTAAACCCCCAAAAAGAAATAAAGACTATCAAAACATCCTCATTAAAATATTATTTTAAAAAATATCTCATACTTAAAAATATATCTAAAATAAAAATAAAATTTTTATATTTTAAGTTTATATTAAATTTACTAGAAATATGAGTCTAAGTATACCTTTACTATATTTGAGAAAAATTAAATGTTCACACAGTGTTAAAATACATCATCATGATCAATTCCTAAATGTGGGGATCCATATTCTGTAGATGACGGGACACCACAGGATAGTGAAGAAATGCCAGACAGTCACATATTATGTAGCCATATTTGTAAGAGCATCTGTGCAGAAATCTCATTAGATTTTGTTTCCTAATCAAGGTTCAACTAATGACTGGATAAAACTTAAGAACACTGAAAGGTTTGCAAACAGGTACCCCAATAAGAGAAGAATATACCCATGGTTTGAGAAATTATACTGTAGGTGAGAAACTAAATACATTTACTAACCACTTTATAAAATTTTTTTAAAAGTGCAAAGAATTCACAATTTTCATCAGATATTTTCTTTCATCATCACTTCTAATCACATGAAAATTTTGTTCCTATGTTTTATAATTTATGGGTTCAATCATTTTGCTAAATAATGTACTGGTCACTCTTTTCATTTATACTCTTCATAGGTTTTATATACTTTTAAAATATTATGATTACTAGCCTTCAAAATAGAACTGAACTTACACATGAATTTTACTCCATAAAATTTATATTGTTTTAATATATGAAACAGAATAGGATACATCAGTAGTCTGTCAAAGTAATTAAATCTCAAAAGTTTCTCAAATAGTAACCTTAAATCACTTTGAAAGCAAGTCAGATTATCATGTTTTCCTCTTAAGCATTTCATCTATTTCAAGAATAAATCATTTTATCCTTCAATTAAAATTATCTTCTGATTAAAACTTTGTCCCCTAGAAAAATACCAACAATGATAAGGTCTCTTTTTCATTTCTCACATATTCAACCAGAAAGCAATCACTGAATGACCATAATTTGGAAATAATTAAGCATCAGTGAGTTTCTTCCATCAACAGGGGAGGAATCAGAAAAATAAACTGTACAATCTGGGTGATAATGAAGTATAAAGTATTTTCATATTTCTCCAGGGATTTATTTCATATGTATAATATGCATGCTACTTGTTCAAGTTCCAACTTTAAGATTTTAAAACAATTAATCTTCCAAACTTGTCCACCTGTGGTTGTTAACCACTAACAAAGATAAACACAGTAATCTAGTTTTGCAAAGAGCTCCTGTGCACAAATGCTTCTTTTCCTTTAAGGTATTTACTTGGCTATGACTTACTTCTTTTTCAGCATCTTCTAGTTTCTTTTTCTTACTTTCAGGCATTAAATCATCTAACCAGCTGAGTTCCCGTTTGGTAAACAGTAAGTCCATTAACTTTCTTACAAATACCAGAGCTAACACCTGAAATAAATAATAAAGTAGTGTAAAATAGGGAAAAATATTAATAGGATATGTTTGTTGGTGGAAACAAGTCAATTTCAATTAGGACTGAGATAAATTTGAAAAAATATATATATATATATAAACAGATTTTGTCTGTAATTTTGCTTCCTTCATTTCTCTTTCTTACCACATGCTCCACATAACAGCTATGTCACCTACCCATTGTAGAAGTCATTTAAAGAAGCTATTTGAAAAATATAAAATACATTCAACTGCTTTCTTAAATACATGTAGTTAATAGCTTGCTTTATATTAAATGAATATAAGACATTCTTAACTATACTGATAATACTTAAAGTTATAATCATTTAAATTCACTATAATTTTGAAGTACTTCAAACTTCTCTGATATATTTAATGAAATTTAATTTTTAAAAATCCCCCTAACTTTTCAAATTTGCTGGTGTATGTTTAAAGTCAAATTTGGAAAGTTTGCATTTTTCTACCAAACTTCAATTAATTCAAACTATTACCAATATTCAGAATGTTAAAGACAAAAGTAATATGAATCACTGAAATTCATATATAATCTCAAACCGAAACTTAATCACCAGTTTTAGTTGTTAAAGTTTATACCAGGGTTTCCCATAATTGTTCAGAATGACTCTATTGTTCCAATTTCAGTTCATGGGTTTCCAATAAGAGCAGAAAATTACAGGAAGAGGAAAAAAAGAAGTTTCGTACCATCATGGGAAAAACAATAGCAGCTCTTGACACCTTTATTATCCACAAAAGGACAAGGCAACTCATCTGAATGACTGTGAAGAGATGGACTTTTCGAAGTGGTACATGCCTTAGATATATAAAATCTGGTTGATGTTTTGCAGGCATCCAGAAGAGCTTTATTCTATCAAAGAACTAAAAGATAAACAGGCTAATTTGATGTTTACAGACAACAATAAAAGTGAAACAAGTAAAAGTGCGATGTGGTCGTCCCTCTGGATCACATTTAAGTTGACGCTGGGCATCTGAACAGCGGGGTGGTTATGCACACGCTCTGAAGTATTATGACTTCAGTTTTATAATATCTCCTTTTCTTGAATATAGACCCAGGTTATAATTTAGAATAGTTTAAAAATACGAAAGATAATAATACTAAATGTTGCTAATCTGGGAGAGTATTACCTTGGGAGACAAAACACCATCATCATCCTCTTTTTCATTGTCACATTACAGCCTCTTCCTTTATTTGCCCCTTTAGCACCAGGGCTTCCTGGACTGCCATTCTCAGTCCTTCTCTCTCCCGGGGTAGCTCCCTACCCACGGCTTCAGCTTTTACATACCAGACAAAGACTCCCACACCGAGACCTCCACTCCCACTCTCTGTCTCCTGAGCTCTCCTCCCACCTCCAGCTGCTGAGTAGGATGTGGTGACCTCCTTATATTGACTCTGCTATTTGGGCTTTGCCGCTCTGATCTCCAGCAAGGTTTGGCGATATTTTTATAAATTGAAATATCTTAGCCATAAAGATTTAGCCTAAATGAATTATTGTTAATAAAGTGTTTTTAGAGCAAACTGTGTTAAATCAATCTATAAGTAACTTCTTCATAAATTTTCCATACTGCATTGTCAAACCAATATGGTTAAAGTTTATATATGAGGTCTGTCCAGAATATATCCAGCCATGTAACCTGAAAAATAGAAGCATTTATTGAAGAAGATACAAAATACAAGAAACATTGTACACAGCACAATGAAGCCTCAGTCCCCTTCAAAGTAGGCACTTTGGGACCTCACACAGTTCTCCCAACTGCCATCAGCTGCCTGTCATATTTTCCTGAATCTCATCAATAGTCTGAAATCTCTTCTCTTTCAAAGGTGATTTTAGTTTTGGGGAAAAAAGAAGTTGCATGGTGCCAACTCTGTGCTTTAGTGGGGCTAAGTCACCTGGATGATTTGATGTTTTGCCAAAACACTGCACAAAATGTGATGCACGTGTGGGTACATTGTGGTGATGAAGCTGCCAATCACCAGTTGCCCACAGCTGCAGCCTTCTGAGTCATCCAAATAGTTTCCATAAGGAATGTTCAAAAGTAACACCAAACTTGATGCAGATTCATTGCTCTATTTGCTCAGTCATTTTGAATGCAAGGGCCACACAGCACACATGCTTGTTCAACAGCATTTACTATCCCCACTGACTAGTACAGTGAAGTCATCATTGCTCACACATGCACATTCCAGTCCACTCTCCTTGGCTGCCAGGTTATGTTGATGTCACTCAAACCATACATTGTTATTTTAGTAATGGCTGGACTTTTTCTGGACAGACCTCATATTTTTCAATTGCATTTTATAAAAATTATTTTCATCTGAATAAATGTTATTTCTGTTTAAATTTACATAAAAGAAAGTACAAATCTTTTTATATAAATATATAATGTTGCTATAGCTTTGGCTTGGTGGCCATTTTTATCTATGAAAGCTAATTTTCTCAATTCAATTTTTTATATATTAAATTTTCAGAAAAACCTTACATTTTTAATCACATTTTACTGAGTAACAACTGTATTGCGTATTACTTCATTTTATGTATATTTTTTGTTTAATATTTCTTAGGCCAAAGTTACTAGTTTTGAATGTTTCCAACAAGAAGTGATTATTTAGAATATGCTTTTAATCACAGTCTTATTTCATGCCATTTCTACAGTATATCTATTATGCATTTTTAAAAGAGTACTATTAGACATTATTCATTAGCTAATTTATAAGAAAACTAAAAGCGATTCTTGTCAAATATTCCAGAATTACTCTAATATGCCAAGGAACAAATAAATGTGCATTGAGTCAAGTGTTAGGATCAAAACCTCTTCTCCTACCAAAACCTGCTTATATGTATAATAATAATCCCAAACTCAACCTAAGCCCATCTTCCCTTTGTGTACCCCATCTTATGGTATGGCATGATCTTTCCTTGGCCTTCTAAATCAGAATGATATGTACATTAGCTCATATAATGTTCATTTATTTATTCCTATTCATTAATGCCTTCCAAAAACATTTATTGAAAACCTTCTCTGCAGAGTACTAAGTGCTGAATTTTTTCCTGATTCCTCCCTCTCCATAGTTCATTAGGTCTTTTAATTTCTATCTCCTAAATATATCTGGAAATTACATGTCATTAAACCAGCAAATAAAACTTGGTACATGGTGGTAGAGGGAATAGGGAAGAAATAAAGTAAAATCTTCTGGCTTATTATTGAATGTTTCAGTTTCTATAGAATTCATTTTCCTCAGTCACCATTTCTCCTTTGTGCAGTTATGTTCTTGCATAAGTGTACATCAGTGTGTGGGTGCTTCAATTGTTATTGTTTAAATGGCACATTTGCTTTCCTTGGGACTCCTGAAGTGTTGGAATGAATATAGAAGCGGTTATATATCTGAGTACAGAAACAGCATTCATGAGAACACTGTGCTCTGTTTTTTCTGCCATGCTGCACAGTGAGCAGTCTGGATAATAAGTTTCTTAATATTGCGAAATGATCAGGTGAAATACAGGTTCCTACCACATACAGAGTAACTAATTAGCATGCTCTTTGAACTGTTGGTATTCAGCAGGTGTTTATTACTACTTAAGTAATGATAATCGTGATAAATGTAGTCTCAGTTTTGCATTTGGCTTTTATCTTCTCCTAATATCAATTTCCCATTTTCAAACTGAGTTATAGCCACAAAATTCCAAATATGGATTTCAACCCCTGAGCTCCAGGTTCTCTTAAATTTTCACTAACCCTCCTCCTCAGTGTGACACACCACTTGCTGTTTCATTTGTGCTATTTTAAACTCATTACATTTTTTCTCATGGGCCTTTGACAATGTTTTCCTCAATTTTCATTGGAAAGAAATAATTCCAAGATCTGATATTCTTGTTTAGTTCTAAACCTTATAGTATAAAATCATGGAAGTAGAATTAGGGGGAAATCTGTTGAAATCTATCAAAATGATTTAACTTTGTTTCTTAAACTTCTCCTATATCTATGTGAGCCTGGGGCCTAATAATAAATACTTTGCAATTACAGATGAAATTAGTACCCATGGAAATTTGCCAAAGGCAAAAAAAGCAAAACAAATAATTATAATTAAAATCTCTTCAATACTCTTCTCTATCTGCCTTACCAAATCAATTCTTTCAAAATACACTTTCATACTGAAATTATAAATGAGCCAGTTAAAACTAATTTGAGTAAAATTTAAATGCATAGCACTTCCCAACCGTCTCCCACTCCTAAGCTCATGTTACCCAGTGCTGGGATGAACAGAGTCATCCTGTCCACTTTGGATGTTTGATGATCTTACAATGACTTCATATCAAAGTTTGCCTCAGCTCTAACATCTAGCACTGTCCTAAGGCCTAAGTGGTTTTCTTTCTCCCAAAGTTGGAAGCTGGCTCGTTGCTCCTGCAGGAAAAGAGCTTCTTGTGTGGCCTGTTCCTCAGTGTCCAGAGTTTGGCTGAGCTTCTCAGAGGTATGGCTCCCTTGGCACCACCTTGTTTGGCCTGGTGACCTGCATTGATCTTGAACTACATCAGTCCCTCATGTAATTGCATTTCCTAGATAGAAGCCCACAGGGTCACAGAAACGGAAGTTCCTGATAGGACTTCCCCAACAGTCCTTGTGATCAACAGTCTCCCCTGCCTCCCAGTGCTTTCCCCTGAGGTAAGACTCCCAGGGACTTACCAAAACCTAGTTTTGCTCTCTAGTTTTGAATTTACCCATCTGGCCTTAGCCCAGGAACTCCAAACACTCTACCCACAGACCCTAATAAAAGCATGTACCCCAGCTCCTGTCTTCCTCTATCTTTACCTTGACCTTACAGTCTGGCCCAAGACCAAGTACTTCCTCCAGGACCTGTGAGTAATAACCTTCTCTATTTCAATTTCTCTTATGGTCTGTTGTTGAACCTAAGCTCACCACCCCACACCCTGTGCTCTATTTAAGTGTTAATCTGATAAATTCATAACATTCTGTGAGGTGACTTTAATGTCTTTGAACAGCAATGAGTCAAAGTGTGTGAAAAAAATGACAATTTATATTTTCCTTTTACTCAATAAAAATAAACTATACTGTAAAATTAATAACACTCCTAATTAGTCTTTTTTTCAAGAAAATGTGTTTTAGATCAATAATATAAAGTTGGAAAACAGTATTATTCAATGGAAAATTTAAGTAGAAATCTGTTAGTTTCCTAGTGCTACCATAACAAATTATCACAGCTTGGTGGCTTAAAACAATATAAATTTATTCTCCCATAGTTGTGGAGACCAAAATCAAGGTGCTGGCTGCACTGGCCTCCTTCTGAAGGCCACAAGGGAGAAACTGCCCTTGCCTCTTCCAGTCTCACGTGGCTCCTGACATTCCCTGGCAGCAGAAGTCCAGTCTCTGCCTCCATCTTCGTGCGGCCCTTTTCTGTGCCCTCTCTCATTATAAAGTCCCCAGTGATTGGATTTAGAGTTCACCCTAAATTCTGGATGAGCTGTCTTGAGATCCGTAATGAATTACACCTACAAAGACTCTATTTCCAAATGAGGTCACACAGCCTGAGATTCCAGGCAGAAACAAATTCTGAGGGAACACTATTCAACCTACCATAGTACCATAATCAGGAACAATTTGCCAAAAGCCTCTATAAAGATTTAGAAACACTTGTGTGGTTTTAAAATGTATCCACAAATTCTTTAGTGCTTTTCTCTTCAAAAGATGAAGTCTAATTTCCTTCCTATTGTGTGTGAGCTAGCCATAGTGATTTTGTTTCCAACAGACAGTACAAAGTGGAAGTGACCATGGGCAACTTTGGAGACTAAGTGAAAAGGCACAGTGACTTCCTCTCTACTCTAATTGTTCACTCTGATGGAAGTTAACTTGCATGCCACGAGGACCCTTGAGCAGCCTATGGAGAGGTCCATGTGGGAAAACTCTAAGGCTTCCTACCAATAGCCAGGCAGGAACCAATGCTTCTTGCTCACAGCTGTGTGATAAGTCTCTTAGGTGCGACTCTCGGCCCTATTAGACCTTCGGATGACTGCAGCCCTTGTCCCTATCCTGATAGCAACCACATGACACGTCCTGAGCCAGAAACGCCTGGCTAATCTGTTCCCAAATTCATGAACCACAGAGACTGTGAGATAATAAATGACTGTTGTTTTAAGACACTAGTTTTATAGTAACCTGCCATGCAACAATAGAAAACTAATACGAGAACTATATTTATTCAACCAATACTCCATTAAACAATTAATATGGTTTTCCTTATGCTTTGAAACTGCCTTACCTTATATCTTTATTTTTAGTTCAATATTTTAAAAAATTCTATAAATACAACTATAATAATAATAGAAAAGCAAATGCAAAAAAAATAAACCACCCAGAATCTCACTCTTAACAAATTGGTTTTATTTCTCTGTCTCCCTTTTTAATATGAGTAACACTCATAGCTTTATAAACCCATAGTAAGTTCAACCTCCTCTCCTATTTTTTTGTTGCATATGCCATACATTTTTCTGCCACGTTACTTTTTATGGTCATCGTTATCACTTTTCAGTGAATGCACCATAGATTTTGTAATTATTTACTGATGTTGGTTAACTGGATTGTTTCTAACATTTTGAAAGTATATGTTACAATGAATATTTTTGTGCATAAAATTTTTCTATACTCATGGATAGATAGCCATAACCATAATTACAATATCAAAGATTAAAACAACCACATGATCTAGCATCAAGAGACCTTAAAGTAAATCATTGCGGATGTGCCTGTATTACTGTCAGTAATTTACCTGAATTCCCTTTAGAGATGAAGCACCCATATAAAGAAATACTCCATACAGCACTGGCATGGGGATAAACTGTAAAAACAATTGAAGAAAAGGTACAAGTTATTTTCAAATAGGATATTTGGATTAAAGGTGAAGAATGGAGCTAATACTTAGGCATTGTTCCTATGTCAGATATTATAACATTGCATATTGTTCATTTTTTTCTATTTTTCTTGGAATAACTCATCATCATCCTGTCTCTAGAGTTATTTATATAACATGTAAATCAATTCTTGCAAACATACTTGTGAAATGATTAAATAAGAATAAACTTATATAAACTAATTCAATTAGAATTTTCATATTATAGACAACTAGAATTTGTTATAATAAAATCTTGGAAATAGCTGATAAACTTATATGACAAAATAATTACTCTTTAATGCTCTTATGTTCTTAGTTTTATGAAACACATGAAACAGTGTATGTGGCCAGGACCATGACATTGATCACTTCTGTACCTCTATCTTATACTAAGTAATGTTAATTGCAAATAAAGCTTTCCAGTGATTAGAAAATAAAAGCCTAATTTTTGTGTAGACCTGCAGTGAATTTAGGTCATAAGTCAGTCAGCAATAAGTGACTCTTTCCCACAACTTTGTCACTATTTCAAAATTATGGTAATAATTTACACATCATTTTACTTCGCCAAACCAAATTCTTATGTATTTAAGGATTTTAAAAATACATCACATAATTTTCCCCATTAAGTTATATAAACATGGCAAAGAAATTCATCACTTTCATCACATGCCACAAAATATTTGCATATTGGTGTAGTTTCAAATGAAATTCCATAAACAATAATAAATATATTTTGCCTTCTCTCAAATTCATAAAGGCAGATTTTATTACCTTCAGAATGCTGGTCATAAAGACTGATGAACCCATAAGAATAAAAATCATAAGCCCAGTAACTCTTTGCTCCCGAATGCCAAGAAATTTGGGTTGTTCTCCTGGAGCTGAACATTCCGATTCCAGCTTTAGGCTGTTGACATGAGTGATGGAGAGAACAGTGGCAGCTACAAACCATGGCAGGCCCATGATGGAGCACACACCAAGCATGACAGCCACCATTAATAGATCCAGGTGATATCCACAGCCTTTCTGTTAAAAAAAAAAAAAGAGTATTCTCATAGAACCTGAATTTGCATAGAGACAACCCTATCACCATGAAATGGTAAGAATAGATGGAAGATGCTATCTTGAGTCTTATACAATTGATTCTAAAATGCAAAATAAATTAAAGATAAAAAGGTAAACAGCCTCAAGATGTATAACTCACTTACAAAAATACTGCATATGTGTTCCTATTGCAATGATGATTATAATGTCTTCTATAACTTCTAAACTTCAACAGGTTTAATGTATTTCTAGGGTAATGTTACATTAGTTTCCATGCTATTTTTATTGAATAAGTAAGGTCAGTATCAAATACAATCACTTCCATAGTTTCCTTATATGGGAGAGTCAATTCACAATTAACATTACAATTCATTCATTATTGATTAAAAAATCATTAAGTGCCAACTGTATACCAGATATCAGGCTGAAGAAACGTGGTGAAGGACTGTGACAACCACAGAGCTAAGAACGAGCTGATTGAGGACAGAGACCACCTCCTGGATCTTCCAGAGATCGATTTTTCTCAAATGCAGTTTCCAATTGCACTCTTCTCTTTCAATGGGCAGCTTTGGGAAAAATAATATCATGGAAACATGTATATATACTATCTTGTTCCCATTTGTTTCAGTTTTGGTGATAGGAAAAAATTAGCTTCTCCTTAGAAAATCATAGTTTTTGTATTTTCGATCTCCTCTGGGATCCGACTCTATGACCGCTAACCTCCCAGCATTGCAAACTGAAGTGTTTTTTGGACCAAACAGGAAAAATGGATGCAAGGGGCGTGTGGAAACTCGGGGAACTGAAGACTGATGATGTCTTGGAGAGGGTGATTAGGTCAGTCCTATCTGAACAGAGGACTGAAAATGGACAACAGCAGGCTTAATCTCTCTCTCTCTCCCCCCTTTGGGAAATGGACAAGCAGCAAACAGCTTGGCCTCATTTACATTCCAACTCTTAACCAGAGGTAGTATAGTAAAGTGGTTAAGGGTTTACTTTCTGGACACAGGTGGCCTGGAATCAAGTGCTAGTTCAATCAATGACCTTGGATAAATGATTTACCCGTATTTTTCAGTCAAGACACGCCTAGGTTTTAAAGGAGGAAAACAGAAAAGACATTTTTGAAGCAACAAAATTGGTAAAATATTTAATAACATAAATAACATAATATTTCACCAATGTAAATGTAAACAGAACTCAACAGCAGCATTAACAACCACTATTCCTCCCAAATTTTGGAGGTGGGGGTGCATCTTAGAGTCCACAAAATATGATAATCTCTTGTACCTCTGTGTCCTTATCTGAAAAAAATGGTGATGGTGGTTACCAACCTCACTGGGTTGTTGCAAGAATCACATTATATAATTTTGCAAGTCATTCAGAACAATAGTGGGTAAGTGGCACACACCAATCAAACATTAGAGGCTATTACATTCTAGCAGTTGAACAGTGAATTTCTCTTTTGTCCTCATTTGTTTCAAGGCTCCTCAATAAATGTATATATCTTAAGGGCAGGTAATTTATCATATAGCTTCTCTGTATTTCCCATAGTTTTTAGCACAATCATTGGCACATGATAAGCAATTAATAAGTTACAGATTAACTTTTTAAAAAGGAAATATGCATCATTGAAACATCCTTTGGAATCAAATTTAATATGTGTAATTTTTAAGTAAGTGTAGCTGTTAAATTTGTTATCATAATTATAAGCAAACATCACCAATTCTTCTAAAAGAATAATTTTGCCCTTTTTTCCACAGGCAGTTTTACCAAACTGCAAGCAGTTTGTAGTTAGTATGAAAGCTCATATAGCCTGGAGTGAAACATATTGAGTATTTGTTGCATATTTGTAGTATTTTCTTTCTGCTATTTTGCTTTGTTAATTGTTCTATTAAGAAAAACACCCTTAAAGTCAGTTGTGCTTCCTTTCCTTTCTGCCCATCCCTGCCAAATCATAAAAGTGTAGGAGGTGATGAGGAGAAAATGGAAGATAACTACATAACGACTTTTTCCTTGTGCACTGCCATCAATTCAGTGGGTCGGTTCTGTTGGAGCAATGCTCCAGTCCCCCAAAATGCCTTGTGAAGATAACACTAGAAAATTTTCTTTGTAAGTAATGCAGGAGGGATTATCATTACTAAGAGCCAGAGATCGGGAAGAAAAACACCACAGTATCTGCTTCAACAAAAAGCTTCACCAGGCCCATAGTATGTACCTCAGGTCCATTTGCAGATAATTTCGGAAGATGTAGTTGCATGGAATAAACTCAACTTTGGGTCCATTTAAAGGACAATGTCTTAACCAGTTAGAGGATTGTTTTGTCCTAGAGACTGTGAAGTGAGAGAGAGAACAATGAAGGACTTACTCAAGCTCCTGCCTCTGAGGGAGTACAGTGTGAATGATGCCCTTTGGGGTTGTGCAAAGCTTTAGTGCTGTGGAGAGAGAATGGAACAGGTGCTAGCAATAGGGAGATAGACATCAGAGGGCAGAAGACTTGGGGCCTTGAGCTTGCACACTGGGACCCATGTTCACTATGGCCTAAAAATATGAGGAAGGACTTCTTCATGACAGTGATTTCCTATAGCTCTTATTGAGTGTTTTAAAAATGTGATACAAATGTAAACAGTAAGATCCTGGATCGTAGGAAGCAGACAAAGTAATGCTTTTGGAGGAAATAATTTCCTTAGAAATCTAGCTTCGTAAAGTACAAGTACACAATAAAAACAAAAAAGAACCCCCTCCCACCCCAATGATTATGTTGTACAACAATGGGAGCATCTTAATTTGATACGACTCAAAAAAATAAAGCAATTCTAGCACTTCCACTAATTAACCATCATCCTTCTTTTTCCCTTTCATTTAAAATGTCTCTAAAAACTTGGTCTTTGTAACCAAATCATTAGCTGAGAGACATGACTGCCAAAGGGAAGTATCCCTTTGTCAGACAGAGAACTCTGCACCTTCTAACATATTTCTGTAGATTTTTTCTGAAATAAAGACAGAACCAGAGCTTTTATTCTCACATTCATCCATGAATCACGGGAAATGGACATATGGAAGGAAAAGGGAGCATAGCAACAGGTGATGCTACAGCAGACCCCACTAAAACCAACATGCAGCAAGACAAGAGGCCAGCCAAGAGGACCATCTGATACCCAGATGCCACTGCTGAAAAAATTCATTTCAAAGCTTGGCAGCAATTTCCTGCATCTGTCAAGTTAACCACATAAAAGACTATAGATTGACATGAAGAACCAGGCTGACAAAGAGGGCAAAAAAGAACATATCAAATGCCATAATCATCAAGAGAATGTGGTGCCAAATGAATGTTGCAAATGCATTCATTTACTCAAGTGATCTGGGATTGTATTGCTGTTTATTAAAAATGATGTCAAAAGAAGCCTGAACTGTCTACAGAAACATGTAGAAAAGCCCAAAGTTATATTTGAGCAGAAACTTTCTCTTCTGTAAAATAATATCTCTCTTTCCACTTTTAGAGAATACTTTTTTAAAATAACAAATATTTCTAACGCTTTTCCAAAGGCTTCATTTAACCTATGCCTATCCTACTTCTCTTAGGAAGAAACAAACAAGTAAAAAATGCTAGATAAGAATATGGATCTATATGTATATAATATAGGTGATAATGTACATTCTCAAATTTTTATATTTGCAGCTTTTACATTTTTTATTGAAGTACAGTTGATATACTATACTATATTAGTTTCAGGTGCATGACATAGATTCAACACTTACGTACCTTACGATGTGATCACCATGAGCAACCCAGAAGATCATGGGGTACAGTGAATTGGAGTTTGGCTAATTTTGAGCTTTTTCATTCTGAGGGAGGAGTAAGTTACTGAGCCAGTGAGTTGGGCCACACCTCTGAAGGTCAACACAGCTTTCCTATCTGTGTAGCAACACTCACTAAATAATGAAAACCATTTTTAGTGGCATGAAAAATTCTAAAAGAAAACCAACTAGTAGTTTTAGTAATGGAAATAAAGGAAAAATGGAAAGGCCTACAAGATAAGTTAGGAGAGATAAGGAATAAAAAACTAAATTCCAAGGTGACTCGATATATGATGTAGACCTAGATACACTCAGATACATGATGTGGAATCCACCAGGTGCTTGGTACAGAAACTACAAAACATGCTTCACTGAACTATTTCTGGGAATGTTTCATCCAAGGCAAAAGTGGGTTTTCAAGTGAGAAAAAAAATTAGCCAAAAATGTGGTTAACTTGTGGTCTGGGGAGACACTCAGGAAGCACATCTCTTTTCACCACAGTGGGGTTCCAGTCAGAGTCGGGAGACTGCAAACATTTCAGGGAAGCAATGGTGGGGAGAACAGTTAAGGAGCTAACTGCCACTCTGAGTAAAGAATGACACGAGAAAGTGAATTTTCGTTCTTGTTAACAGGAACATCAGCAGCAGTGGACCACCGAAGCTTATAAAAGACAGAGGTTATAGGCCAACAAGGGAAAAAAGTGCTCAGTGTATATAAAACACGTCTTTACCGCAGCAGACTTGCTTTGCAAATATCCACACCCAAGGAGGAAGATGGGGTGCTCAGACTCAGAGTGGTCAAGAACGGACTGGCTCTTCCACTTGGGGAAACACAGCTGTTCATGATTCAGTCATGAACAGCTATATTTGCTCTGTTACTTACTAAATCCATGCTGTTAAGGGGCAAAAATATGAATGTTTTGATTATATGGTTATATATTTGTATAATACAAAGTAATGTACAAATAATATAGTTTATTAATGTAACCTGAACTTGACTTTAGTCATAAAAATATTAAATGTTTTTGTTCTACACTTAATTCTATAAATGCAAGTAGCTGAAAAATCATGTAAAGAACACTTTCTTGTATTTTAGCTGTCCCACACAGTGTGGAAAGAAGGAAAACACTGCGTTTGTTGGTCTGGCCTTTGGCAAAGACTGTGGATGTTGGGGGCCACCCACAGGCTCATAAAGAACAGAAGCACGTGCTGTCCGATGTACAAGGTTGAGAAACTGGAAGGAGCAATGATAGAGAACGGCCTAAAAGATAATATCACCTTTAGCAGATGTTCACTTACTGTCACATTTTGTTTCAATATGGTTCCATTAATACTTAGAAAAAATACTGTCTCTATCAGTTTAGCTGATAACCTTTAACAGGATAATTTTTCTTTTCTTTTTTTTTTTTTTAATTTTATTTAGTTATTTTTCAAGTACAGTTTTTTTTATTTTTTGTAATATAACAATGGAATTTTGTGAGAGAGAAGAAGGAGCTATCTTTGAAGTGGAACTGGAAGTTGGAGGATATTTAGAGAAACTCTGGGATTTCTACCTTATTAAAAAGACAAAATTTTTTTCTTCGAAAAGGAACCAATGATTATGCAACTTATTTTCTTTCTAAATTGGAGTCTTTCAGTTCATTTTAAAACCTGTGTTACAAAATGAAATATATGTACAGCCTTTTAAAATGATAATACAGATTTATATTGTTGACATGGGGTAAATACCATGATAATGCCCTTATGTTAAAAAATGCAAATGACATCTATAGTATGAAAATATATACTTGGGTACATGTCACAATGTTAACTGTATTATCTCTGTGTAATGAAATTATAATATTTTCTCATTTTTTTCTATTAACTATTTATATTATCTAATTTTTTAACTGAAATCTCATATTACTTTATCATGAAAAGCATAGCTATTTTCAGTTTAAAAAATAAACTAATGTTTAGGCAAACTGTTTTCCTACTTCTTAGAGAGTAACAGACTAACAATGTAAAGTATATAACACTTGTTTTATAGATCTATTCAATCAACTATATAACTTTAATAATTAAGTTGTGATGGCACTTGCTTTTGTAGAAGGTTCATATTTTAAAAGCAAATAATACTTTTAAGTGATGGATATTAAGTAAGTAGGCTGTTAAACTTGGAGGTCTGAGCTCCTTTTGTTGCGGGCTGTAAATGATTGAAAGTTTCCAATGTTGAATTGCACAGTTCAGCAGCATTTTGGGGGTCAGCTCATATAGGCTTATCAGAGCCAATTGTCTAATTTTCAAAAAAAATTCCTGCCAATTGATGTCACACTGGTAGCATAAAATGGGCCACAATGGGAGTATTCATACCATGGAAGTCAGCAAACATTATGAATAAGGATCTCTCTCTTTTATATGCAAAGGACTGGTTGTTAAACATATACCAGCACTACTGGTTTAGTTCCTAAGACTTTTATGAGATATTTTAATAAACTATATCCGTAATAATTAAAAAATTTTGACAAAAAAAGCATGAACTTTCAAAAGAGGTTTTGACCACTCACAAGTTACTTTCTACAAAGAGAATGAAAAATGCTCTTTGTTTTAAGAGAGAAGCCTTCTCTTCAATATACACATAAAATTTCTTTTTAGTAAGACATTACAAATCTTTGTGCTTCCTTACATTTATGTTATTACTACTTCCCATCAAATAGGTCAATCAGAGATTTTAATCTTTCTAACAGACATACTTGTAAATCCTTTAAAGCATGATTTCTGTTGCTCTAACAATGGACCTTTTTCTAGAGTTTAAACAGCATGTACATGATACCAGCACAAAACAGGACAGTGCATGCTTTGTTTCTATAAAGTTTGATTTAGGTAATTTATAACCATTCAATGATTTTGATTTTATTTAACACATCCCTATAAGTTATAGCACTCACACTGCGTATCTCAGACAAACTGTATACCAGTAAACAATTTTATCATTTGCAGTTGCAAAATGATAGGGTCAGAATATAATAAATAAAATATATCCATATATATTCTCTTGGTTAAAAATAAAAGAGAAAGAAGTCATTGAGATCTGCAATAAAACTCAACAAAGGTGTGCCCTGGCTAGTGAAACTCAGTGGATTGAGCGCAGGCCGGCAAACCAGAGCATGGAGGTTCATTTCCCAGTCAGGGTACATGCCTGGGCTGCAGGCCAGTTCCCAGCAGGGGATGCACGAGAGGCAACCATACATTGATGTTTCTCTCCCTCTCTCCTTTCCTTCCCCTCTAAAGATAAATAAATAAAATCTTTAAAAAAGTAAATTCAGTCTTTAAAAAAAATCTTAAAAAAACTCAACAAAGGTGTCGCTTAAAAACTTTAACATTTATAAATGGGTTTTGTTGTCACAGGCATTATAGACAGAAGAATAACTGAAGAAATAAGAAATATACGAAGATTTAAGTTGTTCCAATAACAAATATAATCTAATAGACATAGTTGGACCTAAATCAAGAACTAGTGAAATCCTCAATGGAAGGTAAGTTGATAAAGTGGAACTTCAGCAAAGTACATTATTTCATTAAATTATGTTAGACATGGTAAAGAAAGTTAAAATTTAGGCAATGTTTTTATTTTAAGCCCTGGAGATAAGGTTTCAGAGTTTAAAGCTCAGCCAAGTGCTATAAATTAATTAAGTCATTAAAAATAATGAAGTTGAAGTTTATTGTAAGACAAAGTATCCTGATTATAGATAATAAAAATTATGAACCTGAAAACATTACTTTAATATTTCACTGTACACGTGACTACAGAATATAAAGTAGAAGAACTTGATGTCAATCAAGTCACCATGATTTACATTGAAATTAACGTTAAGATATACCTTTAGCTTATGCTCTTTTCTGTTGATGATGACAGCTGTAATCTGCTGGTCCATGAAAATGAGAATGGTACAAAGCAAAGCTGGAATAACAGCAGCTATTACTGTCCACCATGGATTTGGACCTAAAGGTGTAACGAACCAGCCACGGTCATCTCGGGTGGGCTGGGAAAAATGAAAGAATGTGCATAGTTAATAACTGGACTAATGAGTACTTAATCAAATTACATCTAACATGCTACCAGGAAAACCCTAATCATAAATGAATCTGCCAAGTGAGCTATAATTAATAATACTAATGTTTACAAAGCATTTACAAGGTGCAGGCACCATTCTAAGTGCTTTAGATATTTTAACTCATTTTTTTTCACAGTAGACAGAAAGATACAGATAAGGAAACTGAGACATAGAAAGGTCCTGTAAATTGCCCAAGATCCCAAAGCTAGTTAAGTGGTGGATATAGGATTTGAACTCTGACAGACTGGTGAAAAAACCTGTGTTCTTAATCAATACTCAAATAAGATAATATCATTTACAGTTGGCAGGTTTATTTACATTTATAAACAATACGTTGACAACTGCAAGTAACTGTTATTTTAGATGTGTGCACAGGCCATTATCTGAAAATAGCAAAAAGACACTGTGACATCAGGGGTTCAGGGAAGGGCTCTAAACATGGCTGGTACCAGAGACAAACCCCAATCCCAGTCTTTCTTTCTTATTTATTTATTCATTTGCTTATTCATTTGTTTGTTTATTTATTTCCTCACCTGAGGACATTTTTTTCATTGCTTTTAGAGAGAAAGAGAGAGCCACGTCTATGTGAGAGACACACTGATTGGCCTCCTGTTGTATGTACCCTCACCAGAAATTGTACCCATCCACTGGGTATGTGCCCTAACCAGAAATCCAACCTGCAACCTTTGGGTCTACAGGAGGATGATCCAACCACCTGAGCCAGCAGCCAGAACTCAAAATAAGTCTTTTTGACAATAATTCTGAGGGTGTCCCTAACTCCTCTTGACAGGTGAGAAAAATGAGGCTCGGAGAGGTTCAAGAGGCCCAAGGTCAAAATCTTAGCAACATGGTCAGAATTCTATTTCAGACCTATTTTTATTTGTTTTTCAAGCCCTATCCATTGGGCAATTCTGCATCAAGATAATGCATTTCCCTTAGTTCCAAAATGCTTCCTTATCTCTTAGCAGTGTTACATATAGTTATTCCAACTGGAAATATTGACAACAAATATTTTCAAGTGGCCTCTAGGTGTCTATTCTGTGGTTCCTATGTTTAAAATAATAGACCAAAATTTTAGTCATGGTATTGGGCATTTTATTAATCTGTATCTTTATATTTTTATGAAAATCCCAAGTTCCAGGGTTATAGCCATTATCTAATCGAAGATTAGGCCTACAGATATGAAGAGGTTAACAGTAGTAAGTGCTGTCATAAATTTACCTTGAAAACACTTGGTACTTGTAGTTTTGGAGATGGGATCCCAATGGCATAATCAATTAAAACCATACACAGAATTGTAAGAAAGACAGCAAAGTCACTCACTATGGATCGAACCTAAAAATAATGAAAACATTTGTCACTTGAAGAAACTAAATAGACAGGAAGACTCGGGAACATAATCTACAGGTGCATTTATAAATACTTTATGATATAACATCATAATGTATTTTATGCATACTATAATATTATCATTAGCTTTGTCAGGACATGAATATATATATATTTACATATCTTTGTCATTAAGATGAATATACAATCAGCCTTTCTAGAGTGAGGCACTGTGAAAGAGCTGTAATGGTGATTGTGTTATTTTTTAATATTTATTTAAAAATCTAAGTTTATTATGAAGCTAAGTGCGTGAATATTGAGAACACAGATCAAGGTCACATGGCCAGAATTTGGCTAAATTTTAGGGCTCTTTCTCACACAGGAAACACTTTAATATGATAAACCTGAAGCACCATAATATAAAATTACCACTTTTATTAAAGAAGCATAGTATTTTGGTTTATCTGGGATATAAGTATGACAGCAAGGAAGACGCACAACAGAGTGGGCAAGTTTAAAAGGTACTCTAGGTAAGTCAGTTTTAAAGCCATTTCTCATGCATAAAGCCATCTTTAAGCAAAAATCTGCATATAATTATCAACAAGATCTGGCTTATTATTTAGTATGACTCCATGACACACACAGGAACACACACGAAAGTGCAGGAGATTATTGTTTTAAGCCACAAAAATAATTTAATCAAATTAAACTTTTGAGGGAAAGAAAGACCTCCACCGACAGAGAGAGGTAACCATAACAGAAGTTTTCTGCAGAGGACCCAGTTCTTGAAACATTTTCCCAGGGTACAATTTCGATTATAATCTCGGCTCATCCTTAAGAAGCTTGTTTTTTTTTCCTCATGTTTTATTGGCTGAGTCAGACTTTATAGGTGTTACTTTGCAGTGTTAAATATTGAACTAAGCTGTTTCTCTGTTTACTTTCCTTTCCAAATATGCAGATGCAAACGTGGTGGGTTAGGGGGAGGGTCTGACACTTTAAAAATAAAAAAGAATAGTATTCCAATGAGTGTTGCAGGGGCTTTCCCAATTAGAGAAGGCAGCAGTGGCTCCAACGAGGTATCTGTCAGCCTGGAATAGTTCCCGCTGTTCACTGGGCAAGGAAGTGGCAATCAGTAATGCAGTGTGTGCTTTCAGTTTCCAAAACCTACGTGGGAAGGTCGGAGTTCGTCTTTGGGATCGGAGGTTAAGGAGAAAAGCCTGGAGGTCAAGTGCCCTCCTACCACCAGTCTCAGAAGTGCTTTTACTTCACCTCCCTCCCTCACCTATCTCCACTCGTAATCTGGCAGCTCGCTTACACAAATGTTTTTAGTGGCTCCTTTCACCACAGCAATTGCTCTTCCTTTTGTCTTAAAACATGTATGACTATAAAACCTGCTTTATGTAGGTTTACCTTTTAATCAGGAAAACTGTAGTCTAAGTACCTTGGTTGGAAAATAGCGGCTGGTCTTGAATTGCTTCAGGGTGGCTGACAGAGTAACTGTGGAGAAAAACAGGATCACTGACCAAAACAGAACATCTGGAACGTATGGGTGATCGTGACCGCAGGCTCGTCCAACATAGTCTCCATGCAAAGACTTGCATTCCTGCCAGAGTAAAACAAATGGGGCAATTAAGAGAAAAACAGACACGGCTCTTTCAGCAATCTAACATCTGAAGATCAACTGCAGTGGAGCTGCCGAAGTGTTTCCTCCATGGCTCTCACAGTGACTTAACGGACAGCACATTACACCCGACAAATTCTACCTGGATAGGTCAGGGATTGAGCCATATCAAAGATTCATATTGTGTAAAATTTGAACACAAACCACTTTTAAAATGTTTGCCTTCTAAAATTAAATTTAAGTCTATAAAACTAATCGATTTACCTATCAATGTGTATTTAACCTTGTATCGACTAAGTTCCTAACACCATACTTATTGAAAACGTGATGCACTTGCCAGCGAGGAATTACTAGGGTCAGACAGTGTGCCAAATCATTTAAATACATCTTAATTAATTGAAATGCATTATCTTAATTCATTTTCACATCAAGCCTATAAAATAGGTAGATGTTATTATTTTGATTCCGTGTCTGAGGAAACTGAGACAAGGCGAGTTTAAATCATTTCCTGTGACCTCCCTGCTGCTGGTGGCAGCAGGGCTGTGACACAAATATGGTGCCCGCGGCAGAAATACTATTGCTTATTAAAGAAGAGCACGATTTTGTAAAATTATAGAGTCCAAAAGCAGCAAAAAAGATGAGAAAATTTGAGGTTGGCCAAAAAGTTTGGTTTTTTTTTCTGTATGATGCTCTCTCTAGTAGCACTTAGTTGTCTTTAACTTCATTCAAAACAATTTCATTAGATTGTTATGACAGCTGTCATATCAGCAGGCATTTAAAAAACATCAAAATTGGTGAATTTTTGTGTAGGCATTTTAATATTGAAGATGGAAGAAAATACACATTTTCAACATATTTTGCTTTATTACTTCAAGAAAGGTAAAAACACAGTTGCAATGCAAAAAACATTGTGCAGTGTATGGAGAAGGTGCCGTGACTGATCGAATGTGTCAAGAGTGATTTGTGAAGTTTTGTGCTGCAGATTTCTCACTGGACAAAGCTCCATGGTGGGTAGACCAGTTGAAGTTGATAGAGATCAAATTGAGACATTAATTGAGAACAATCAATGTTACATCACACAGGAGATAGCTGACAGACTCAAAATATCAAATCAATCAACTTGTTGATGAAAATGAAAAATGTGTCTTTTATGTTACAGAACAATACATTAGGCTAACCCAATATTATTACTGAAATGAAACTGTGAGTCAAAGATTGGGCTTGATCTCAGATTACAGAACAAAACAGAAAATGTTACTCTATGCACAAGACCAAGTTCATATTTAGCATGACTTCTCTCTCCACCGTCTTTTTTCCCTGGTGTATATTTCTGTAAGTCCTGAAGGATCATTTCTAATTATTGCCTTGGCCATGAGGTGGCAGCAAAGTCAAAAAAATTCTCTTAGTCCAAGAAACACTGAGCATTTGAAACACTAATATTTAGAAAATGAAAATTTTCTTTTAAAATCACTTTGGTGTCTCTTATTTTATTTTAACGATTAGACTACTAAAGTATTTTTATTCTAAAACAGAGGAAACGACTGTTTAAATAGACCAGTGACCTCATCAATCCTAGAGCTATCCTGGACCAGAACAGAAATGGAATTGTGCTATGGTACAGAGACAGCTTAAAGAAAAACACAGACTGGCAGATCGATCACCAACACAGAGTCCACCCACTGAACAATGCCTCAGGCTGCGGAGTCCCTGTATAACAGTAAACAAATACTTTCTAAAGATTCTAGAATAAACCACGGATAACTACACTGTTAACCAAGAAAAAACAACCAACCAGTAAATCTAATTGGGGCAGCTACCCCTAAGGCTAGGATTCTTAAGGAATACTGTTAGTACACCTTTTAATTATCGGAAAGAATTCTTTCCCCCTTTTTAATCTAACTGCAAATACCTTCCTTGCTAGCTAAGGTTGAATTCCAATTATTCATAGTAAGCTAATACAGAGCACAACAACTTGGCTAATTGAAAAACCGAAGAAAAATCCCTCAGGTCTTAATTATAGCTTTAATTTTCCTTTCTCAGACTCTGAAAAATAAAGTACCAAAAATGAATTCTTGTTTTGGGTTTTTTTTTTCATTCCTTCTCCTGCTTCTGCTCAGAGATACCAGTAGAGCAATTATTAGGCAAAGCAGCAGGAAAGCTGAGCAGTAAAATGGGGAAATATTGGCTAAAGGGTTCAGTTATGTGGACTAAATAGTTTCTGAGGATCTAATCCACCACATAGTGACTGTATTTAATGATACTATATGATATAGTCAAATTTTGCTAAAACAGTAGATTTTAATTGTTCTCACGAAAAAAAGGCAACTATGTGAGAGATTGGTATGTTAATTAGCTTGATAGTAGAAATCACTTCATGATGCATACATGTATCAAAACTTTATGTGGAATATTTTAAATGTGTATAATTTTGTCAATTATACCTCAATAAAGCTGAAAATAAATAAAAACAAGACACGTTAAATAGTACACTTGTGATATAAGACTATCTTTTCAAAATAATCATGAAACAGTTGGGGAACACACACTGCGCACACAGCAGTTTGGGAGCATCGAAGAGAGAGCTAGAGTTCTGTGCCCTGGGGGAGTTAGCCAGGCAGTAACTACCATGCGGTGTGTGCAAATTCAGTTTAAAAAATCTGCCAAATGTACACTATATAAAGTAAATGTTATGTTGTTATTTTTATGAAGTGGTTATAATAGCCATTAGCACAGAACTTTATTAGTAAAATGGCTCGGTGATACTTGTGATGGTGCTTTTTTAAAAACCCTTGTATAAAAAATTTTTAAATAAGAAGCCCTGGTATAATAATTAAAACAAAACAATTTTAATAGTCATCACTGACTTAAAAATTACAAAGTCTTTTCATTATGTATCATTCCCTTTGGTGATAAAGGCTATTTCTGGTCAACATTAGCCATTATCTAATGCAAAACTGCTTTTAACTAATAAAAATATGAAAATTTGACAGAACTTAAAAAAATGAGCTAAACACAGTGCTAGATAAACTTTGATTGCAAAACACTGTTCCCTGAACTTTGCTTGACTCTAAAACTTCTAATATCTAAAATTAACTCATGGCAAGCCAGATCCATTGTTCTGTGAGTCTTGCAGCTATAAAGAATGAGCATTATTATTTAGCATTAAACTATTCAGAGAATATAAAACACATAGAGTAAATTATCACATTAAATAATTTGGAGATGGGACTACAGGGGTTTTGAGTTGATGATTTAGACATAATATCCTTATCGTTTACAGAAAAGAAAATAAAATATAGACGGACATTACACCACTGCATGGATCAACCACCGCATAGTTATCAGTGGTCATCCATTACATGGATGAGTGAGGGCTTAGTCTAAAGAAAACGATGAGGGCAAAAATAAAGGTAGTAAAGGATAAGTCAAGACTGCATTTTAAACAGAGTGTAAATAATTTTATGTTGATTCTAAAGAAAAATATAATGAAGAAGATTGACAAAATAGGCAATAGGTGAAGTGCTTTTTACAAAAATCCTTTTTATATTTAACAGTTGCTGAGAGAGTAGACTTTAAAAACTCTCATTGCAAGAAATAAAATTCTGTAACTATGTATGGTAACATGTTCGCTGGACTTATTATGGTCATCACTTTGTAATATATACAAATATTAAATCATTATGCTGTATGCCTGAAATTAATATAATGTTGCATATTAATTATACCTCCACTTAAAAAAATCACATTTAGAAGGGACTTCTGCCAAGATGGAGGCGTAGGTGGAAACACTTTCTTCCTTGCACAACCGAATCTAAAAACAACAAAATTTTAACAACAATAAATGCAAACAAACCACAGAAAATCGAACAATACGGAGTTTGAAAACAACGAACTGCTCAGCTAAACCGGTGAGAGGGGTGAAGCCAGCATCGGAGCAGGTCCGGCAAAAAAGATCCTCTGACCTGAGCGGTAAGCAGGCAGCCTAGGGCGTGGATCCCAGGTGCAGGGTAGCTATGGGCGAACCCAAGGAAGGCGCAGAGTGGCTGGCTAGCTGCGGTCGCGCATTTGAACGCAGATAAACCAATGAAGAGACGAGCATTGAGACAGACCACACAGGCCCCGGCTCAGGGCGGCAGGCTCACACATTTGCGCTCAAATAAACTGTCAGGGGCATGTGGTGAGGCAGACAGGGCGAGCAGAGAGGACCGCCATTGCTCCCTCTCTGACCCCACCCCCACATACAGCATCACAAACCAGTGACCTGGGTGGCCCTGCCTGGTGAACACCTAAGGCGCCTCTCCTCATACGTAACAGGCACAAACAGATCAAAACATGGCTCAAGAACAACTCAGAGCCCCAGAGCCAATAAATCCAAGCAAACAAGAAATAGCTTAACTTTCAGATGCACTGTTCAAGACACTGGTGATCAGGATGCTCACAGAACTGGCTGATTTTAGTCACAAATTAGAGGAACATATGAAGGCTAAACTAATTGAAATGAATAGAAATGCACAGGAAACCAAAAATAATGAAAAGGAAACTGGGACTCAAATCAAGGGAGCAGACCAGAAGGAAGGAAAAAATGACCAAACAGAAAAATATGAAGAAACAAGAATTCAAAAACATGAGGACAAGCTTAGGAACCTCCAGGACATCTTTAAATGCTCCAACATCCGAATTATAGGGGTACCAGAAGGGAAAGAGGAATAGCCATGAGTGGAAACCTTATTTGAATAAATAATAAAGGAGAATTTCCCCATTCTGGCAAAGGAAATAGACTTCCAGGAAATCCAGGAAGCTCAGAGAGTCCCAAAGAAGTTGGACCCAAGAAGGAACACACCAAGGCACATCATCATTACATTAGCCAAGATTAAAATGAAGGAGAGAATCCTAGAAGCAGCAAGAGATAAGGGGACAGTCACCTACAAAGGAGTTCCCATCAGACTGTCAGCATATTTCTCAAAAGAGACCTTACAGGAAAGAAGAGGCTGGAAAGAAGTATTCCAAGTCATGAAATCCAAAGACCTACAACCAAGATTGCAGAATGGAAGGGCAGATAAAGTGCTTCTCAGATAAGACCAAATTCAAGGAGTTCATCATCACCAAGCCCTTATTATATGAAATGTTAAAGGGACTTACCTAAGAAAAAGAAGATAAAAAAGTTGAACAGTGAAAGGACAGCAAACTCACAGTTATTAACAACCACATCTAAAACAAAAGCAAATTAAGAGGACAGCTAGATCAGGAGTGAACCATAGAAATGAAGATCACATGGAGGGTTAGCAACAAGGGAATGGGAGAAGGAGAAGGGGAGAGAAGGTACAGAAAATAAGTAGCATAGACACTAGATAGAAAATAGATAGGGAGGAGTGTAAGAATAGTAGAGGAAATATAGAATCTGAAGAACTCGAGACACATGTTCATGAACTAAAGGGGGAGGATGGTGGGGGAGGGGTGTGCAGGGTGAAGGGAAATGAAGAGAGGGAAATGGAACAAATGTAATGGTATAATCAATAAAATTTTAAAAAGGAAAAAATCACATTTAGAGTTTTATAATATTTGTAAAACAAAAAAGTTTTTTTCCACTAACTGTCTCATTTACTAAAATGATATGTTTCATAAAATGAACTAGAATTCACAGTTTTATACTGATGTTGCAATGGGATTTGAGCTTATACAAATAGGTAAAGTAGAAGCAGCTTTGGATCGTAATGTTTGTAACTGAGGAGAATAAAAAAGAAACTAGGTTGATTCAGATTTTTTACATATTTATAAAAAGAAGACCCCTTTCAATGTTTCCAATTGTGAGATTTGACTAAACAGAAGTAAAGGAAGCAAATACAGATGAAAAAACAAGTGCACAAACATAATGATAGATTCAGAAGAATGGAGAAATATAGCTGTGAGAGAAAATAACCACAAAGCAGAAATGAGCAAAACAGAAGTTTTTAAAAGGTACAGGATTTAAGGTGCAAAATATGTTGCAATCCTCTTTCCCGAGTGGGAGTTAAGAAAAAAATCGAAGTAAGAAATCTCTTCCTGAAAGAGGTACCAGAATTTTGTTAATAGATTGACTTCTTCTGTTCTTCCCAAAGACTTCAATATTTACACTAAAATACTAACAAACAGCCCCTCACCGTCAGCATATCCTGAATAGCTGGAGCAGTCTTACAGAGCAAAGTAAGAGTTTTGGTTTCTTTACACAGAAGCCCAACTTAATTCTGCCCTATGGTTTCATGCAGGTCAACGCCATTCTCAGTTAATATGTCTTCAGTTAGTCTACTCATATTGTGCTGTGTATGTGTGCTTTTTATAGCATTTCAGGCCTACTGACTAAAAGAAAAATTTAATAGTGAAAGAAAACCCCAGTTTACTGATGAATACTTAAAACAAGTAAAATTTTTTAAAAAGCAATACTTTTATAGTAGTATACATTCAAAAAAAGTTTACATTAGTGGTGGTAATTCATTCACAATGTTAACAAAAGCCCCCAAACTGTAATGCAATTCAAAATATGACTTTTTTCAATGTCTCACTTACTGACACAGTTAGGTTCTCCCAAATTATGTCCGAGGCAGAAATGTTGGACTCCCTCCACTCCTTTAGGGTGTCGTTGCTGGGATTATGGGGTTCCACACAGTTACATCTGAAAAGGCAAAATGTGCAGTTTGTGAAATAAGCATTTTTTTTGTCATTATACTCTAAACAAACATGGAATATGAGTCTTTCTTCCCTAGTCATGGCCTTCCTCCAACGAAGAGATAAGAGGTTAGGTCATCCTACAGTATTCTAGGACAGACCATTTACAGAAAGCAGAAGAGATGTATTGCCAGGGCACTAGATCTCTCTAGTATTTCTTGGGAAGAGGTTATTTCCTCTCTGTCCCAGTCAGAGAAAGTTTTGTAAAGTAAAGGTTAGAACACAGGGCTTTGGGGACTTTTCAAATCAGCATGCCTTCTAGACTTTAAAATGACCATTTGTCTCTATATCATAAGTCAAGAGGAAAAAAATGCTGAATGTCCAAATCTGTGATTATAATTTACTTACTTTTTAATACTGTAAAAACATATCGCTTAAAGTTGCAGTTATTTAATTCATATTATAAAGATCATTAATAACTTTTGAAACTGTGGCTGCTATCATCATGATCACGATCAGTATTAATTCTGGTTCACTTTTTCAGTCTTTCACAAAATGTAGTAAAACTATTAACTTTCACCTTGATGAAACACAAAAAGAACACTAGGCCTTCTCTAATGTGCTGGCGCTCTTTTCATTTTACTCCCAATGCTTTAAAGAGATGTAAACTCTAACCAGCATTAGAAGAGTTTTGCTACTATTGCTACGAATTTACAGGAAAAAAAAATCCTGTTCAAAGGAATTTTTGAACAAGAACCAAAAATTTTGGTTATGGGTCATTAGATCACTGGGAAAATATACTAAAAATACTATATGCATATAAAGAGAATAATTTATTTACAAACCCAAATTAGCCCTGGCTGGTGTAGCTCAGTGGATTGAGCGCGGGCCTGAGAACCAAAGGACTGAGGTTCAATTCCCAGTCAGGGCACATGCCTGGGTTGCAGGCTAGTTCCCAGCAGGGGACACACAAGAGGCAACCATATATTGATATTTCTCTTCCTCTCTCCTTCCCTTCCCCTCTAAAGATAAATAAATAAAATCTTTAAAAGAATAAAAACGCAAATTATTTTTAAAAGAAATAACACTAAAGCCATTAAATTGCTGAATATTTTCTAAAATTTAGAACCAGATCTATCTTTTGACTTAAAAAAGGACTAAACTCACATACTCATTTTCTCTCATTACCCAGAATTCATTAAACAAAAGAACAGTATAAAAATAAACATCCTGGAAATGTCAACAAAAGAGATATGTAAAGCAATGGAATATGAAAAGCAAGATGTTTAAAAAAGCCGATCGGAGGAATAATAGCAATAATAGTACTTGTACATATAATCCTTAAAATACTAGTATTATGCATATGAAAATATATAGGGACAAGTGACTTGGCCAAAGTGACTCAAGCTAGGAAAGTCAGAGCCAGAATTTGAAACTAGGAAGTCCACTTTTAAACCCCAGCTGCTGTGGAGGCGGGATCTGGCCTAACCAGCAGAATCCCAAAGAGTTCTGGACTCAGAGAAGGGCTCACACTCAACAAATAAATAAAGAGTTGGAGCTGAAAATACAGGAACTAACTATTGTTCACTTCAGAAATCCTCCCTGCAGTACTGCGTACACACAGACATGACTTCATAGAATGGCATCAGACTTTTCTATCAGAAATACTATGAAAAGTACAAGGCAAAATTATTTTGAACCTAGAATTCTATATTGAATCACACCATCAATTTAAGGAGAATTTTTAAATGTTGATATTTTTGTAGATTTTATTGTTTTTCCTTGCATGCATTCTTAATTAGAAAGCAAATTAATAAATAAAAAAGAGGTTATGTAATGAGGAAAAGAGTATTACACACGAGAAACTGGTAGAATAAGTGAACTCAGCAAAGGTGTGGGACAAAAATCAACAGACAAAAATCAGTTACATGAACAGTGGACAATCTGAAAAGGAAATTAAGAAAACAATCCCGTTTATGATAACATCAAAAAGAATAAAAGAGTTAGAAATAAACTTAACCGAGGAAGTGAAAGGCATCTATGCTTAAAACTATAAAACATTGCTGAAAGAAAAGAAAGAAGACACAAATAAATGAAAGATAAAAAAGTGTTCATGTATTGGAAGACTTAGTGTTGTTAAAATGCTCATACTACCCAAAGTCACCTACAAAGTCAATGAAATTTTTATCAGAATCCCAATGGCGTTTTTTATAGGAAAAAAAATCCTAAAATTCATATGGAGCCACAAAGAATCCTGAATAGCCAAAACCATCTTGAGAAAGAAGAACAAAGTTGTTGAATGCCTTACATTTTCTGATTTCAAAACATATTACAAAGCTACAGTAATCAAAAGAGTACAGTACTGACATAAATACAGACATATAAGACAAATACAGACATTTTCTGATTTCAAAACATATAAAACAATAGAACAGAATAGAGAGCTCAGAAATACCCCCCCCACACACACACACACATACAGTCAGAGGATATGTGACAAGGACATTAAGACTACACAGTGGTTAAAAAAAAAAAGAATAGTCTCTCCAACAAATGGTAGATATCTACATGCAAAAAAATAAAATTGGACCCTAATCTTATACCATACAACTCAAGATGGATTATAGGCTTAAATGTAAGACTGGAGACTATAAAGTTCCTAGAAGAACAAAAGGGAAAGCTTTATGACATTGGTCTTAGCAATATTTTTGGATATGACATCAAAATCACCGGCAACAAAAGCAAAAATATACAATGGGACCACATCAAACTAAAGTTTCTGGATGGCAAAGTAAACAATCAACAAAGTGAAAAGTTAACCTTTGTAATGGGAGACAATATTTGAAAACATATATCTCATAAGTCATTAATATCCAAACTACATAAGGTGTTCCTAAAACTCAATAGCAATAAAACAAATAACCTGATTAAAAAGGGGCTTACACAATTGTGTCTGGCAGAGCTGTAATAAGGAGTGAAGACCCCAGATCTTGGACCAACTGGCTAAGGTGGAATTGCTCAGCAGCTGCTCAGAAACATTCTCTTCACTGATGTGTTCTCAAGAAGCTCAATGTTTCTGCTCGTGGAATTTCCACTTTACTGGAAAACAAATGTTGACTACCAAAGCATCTTGGATGAGGCAGTGCTGCTTTGAGCAATTATTCATTCCAATGACTAAAACCTACTGTACCAAATGTTCTAAGAAATTAGGAACTGGGGTGTATACCTACCTTTTTAGTGATGAAAATCATAGATTAGTTTGGTAAAATACCCTGTTTTTATTGGGAGACCTTATTTTTATAGAGAGTAAAAATATAACTATATTAAGATTATAAATAGAAATGTACCTCAATGCCTAGAGGAGATATATTAGCACTTATTAAAACTATAAACAGAATCCATCTTAATGCCTAAAGGAGACGTTAGCAATTATGAGAAAATATTTCTCTGTATTTCTGAGGACTTTGTTGTTTCCTGTTCTGTTTTCCAAAAACAAAGGAAGCCCTTATGTTTTTCCTATTTTTGTGTCATTTGTGATTTGTGTATATGTTTGCAATATGGCTAGAATGGAACTTACAAAAAACTCTCAGCTTTGATCTGGCTGGGACGACACCGTATTTTTTATCTAAAGGATCTATTTTTTCCTTTTTACTTTATACTCAATACATAAAAATTATTTTTAAAATGTATGACGGCCCGAGGTTTTCAGGTGGTCTGTTCTAAAATACAAGCACTGGTTTCATCAGGATGTTTTCTTTGTCAGCTTTCCTGAAGGGGCAGATTATTCAGTGATTTCCAACCCCCCTCCCTTTTTCATTAATACCACCCACCATCTTATTTATTTAGTAAATCCTGAATTCTGAGTGGAAAGAGAAGTAAAGCCTCCACTCAGAAGTAATATCAAAATGAATCTTGACTCTGCCCCTTTGGCCCTATTTGAACTTAGGAAATCACACAACCTCTTTGAGCTTTTATTAACACATTTTACATTGAAAACAATTATAATAAGTATGCAGTGTCTTGTTGAGACTTTAAAAGGGCACTTAACATAAGTAAAACTTCAGTACCATTCCTAGAATGTAGTAAATGTTCACTATAAAGTACCTTACATATCGTTGTTCTGTGGGTTATAAAGTGCTTTGATACAATATCAAATCTCAAATCACTCCCATGAGTGGTAGGACAGGTATTTTTGTGCCCATTTAAAAATGAGAAAGGGCAGTTAAGCATCAGGCTGGTACCGTGGAAAGGATGAGGTAGGATATGGGATTTCTGGTCTGTACTCATTATAAATGGAGCCCATGGTAGAGTAGGCAAAGGAAGTTCCTTTAGTTAACATTGTCTTATTTCTGGTCTAACTGTATTCTGTACAGCCACCACAAGCATGGTATGAGGCACTCTGTTTTCTAGTTTGATTTCTATACTTTACAGATGAAGGAAACAGCCATACATGCTGGTAGAATTAGATTTGAATGCAGGCCTGTTTGACCCGGAAACCTCTGCTCCTTCAGTTAGTATGTGCTTCCTCTGGATGTAAATCTGTGCAGTTTCCATCAGCATAGCCAGACGAACGAGATGGCTCCCAAACAAATGATGGAGTCTACATTTTACTGTCCGGGCCTCCTAGCTTCCCCTTTCACAACCTGTCTCCTTTCAGATATTCCCCCAAAATGCCCAGCAGCCCTGCCTTCTTATTATGATACTACACCACCAACTCTCCAGGTTCCCAGGTTTAGAGTCATCTAAACCTGGACTGGAAAAACCTCCTTCACTTGGCTTGTGTGTGCGCCATTCCCTCAGGGCCCTTGTTTTTTTCTCAGAGTGACTGTACTGTGTCATGCCAAAATGTGTCACTCCATTCCCAGGAGTACACTGACATTCTCACAGTGCTGTCCTGAAAATACTAAGAAATTTGCTATAAAAATGGCGAGTTCGTAGAAAAAAGGTTTTTGGAGAGGCAGGTCTACTCGTGGACATTAGCCACCTGTGCCTCCTGGTCAAGACTAT